TTATGTTTTAGAGGAGGACCTCAAGCTAGCAAACTCAATTTCAAACAGTATGCAGAGTTGTCCTGCTAAAGAGTTAAAATGTATTATTTAACCAAGTATTTATTCTCTTATTTGCTTTAATTGCAACAGATGATAAAGGTTTCACTGTGATAAGTATTCTCTTAAATCCATAAACCCCTGTACAGTGCTTTGTGGACGATGGTGTTTATGATATTTCTGACTGCAGAGGGACGCCTAGATGATGCCATCTTTCTGTGCGATCGCTGGTGGGTGCAATTATTTATCAACAAGCAATAAGATAAGACATGGCATTGATTCTGCTGGGCCAGTTGCCGTTCCTGCAGGGCCAGATCGTCTCCTCCTCGGTTTGTGCTGTTGATGCAGAGGACGTTGTTCGGAACTGTTCCTCCTCGCTAGTCCCAATGTAATCATCTAGAACAGAAACATGACTTGTAAATTCCACAAACTACTGCAGCACAATACTATAAATAGCAACACAACTATAGAAAAGACAAACTGAACGTAAACAATGGCACATATGGTGTTAGCAAACAATAGCTCTCGCTAATGCTATCTGCCTAGCTAGCCTTCGGGGCTCCATCGGGGTTGTCGAACATAAATGTAAGGATAAAATAGACTTATTTGTTAGAAGTGAGCTTTAAAACAGATAGGGACACAAAGCAGGGACACAAAGCAGGGACACAAAGCTTTCAAGCAAATAACACAGCGTTAGCAAAAACGTACCATGCAGACTCCAGTAACGCCGTTGGAGAGTCCAGTGTCTGTGTAGAGACCTCCTGAAAGACTTTGATATTGCGAGTTGTCCCGTCGAGCACCCGCTGGACCTTATCATCTGCAATATAATGGACGTCGTCACTTCCTCGACCGACCATGGTGTGCTTTTCTTTGCCATTGTTGTAGCTCCTCCGTTAACAAAAATGCTGTTTGTAAAAATGGATTATCTCGCGCGCAGATTGTGACGATTCTCTCCGACCAATCAGCAGCCGAGAGCGTTGACGTCACAAACACAGCCCGGTTGTCTTTGGCCCTGGCCCCACGATTTTATGAGGCCAGAAAAACTGAGAATTAGGACCAGCCGGCCGGTACTAGGCCAAGTGGAAACGCAACCACAAACGGGCCGCTGACGTCACAGCCCTCTTAAACCGGGCTGTGCGCTGTAGTGGAAACGCGCCATAAGAGAGCCGGCCAGCTAACCAATTAGAGCAGACTGGGCTCTGGTTTCAGACAGAGGGGGAAAAGAGCTGCAGCAACACAAGCAGTATGAGAAACATAAAGCTTTTTTTGAACATTAAGGCATGTAATCATGTCACAGTAGAGGCACAAAATACAAATATGAACCTGGAAGTGAGCATATTAGGGCCCTTTCAAGTCGAAATCTTAGAGCTAAAAACATTCTTTAAATGTTGTAATACGTTGCAATTTTCCTTCATCACATCAGGTGTTGGTAAAAATAAATGAAGAAACAAATGATACATCAAATATCAGTGATATAGAATAATTAGGAAGATGGCCTTGGGAAACAACAACCTCTTATTACAGAAGGTTTTTCTTTATTCGATTGAGTTAATTTGACATTTATTGTCAAATTTCTGACAAGTGTGAAGAGTGAAAAAAGTTCCTTTTTGACCAAAGAAGCAGTTTGACAAAGAAATCAATAAAATAAAGAAGCAAAACTAATACTGCACTGAAGATCTTGTATGTGGACATTGTGGACAAAGCTCTTATTAACATTTTCATTTTTCCTCTGAGAGCAGAAAGCAAAGTGAAGCTCCATACCTCCCTCTACTGGCTCTTTATTATATTGCAGTTCTCAACACAGAAGTGTGTTGAATTGAGAAGTGATTTTACCATAAGCATTTGTTACACTGGCTCAGGGGGCCTCGCGCAGGGGGCCTCGCGCAGGGGGCCTCGGCTTATGAGCTCGGCTTGTGCGCAGTTCTCAGCGCAGTTCTCCGCGCACTCAGTCCGAGATGCAGTTATTTCCAGCATTCTTTATTTACCATTCATTCAAGTATTTTATGCCTTTTATCTGCTAATATACAGGAGGAAGAGTGATAAACTGTCTGTCTAGTTGGCTTACATAACAGTTAAAGTTTACGGCCTAAAAAACATGGAGCATTTTTTCCCCTTTTATTCATTTTTATGACAATTTGCACATTTCATGGTGAAGCTCAGCCTCTCCCCTTAACTCCTAACAGTCATCATCATGTCAACCACAACACAGAGAAATACTGAAAGAAATGTGTGTGTAGTTGTTGCTGACAGAGGGAACTACATTTGAATACAGATTTAAGAAATATCAGTTTTTGAGCATGTAATAAGCATGTTTTGTCTTGACTATATTACAACTATATTATAATAAAATAATATAGTATTTATATTATTGAATTGATTATGATTATTATTATTAGTAGTAGTTTATTTGCATTAATTATATTTTAATCTTTTTGAGGCTAGTATTTGGCAGAAAATGCAGACGTATTCACCTGATACGCATACGGACATGTACGACATACATGCACATTTACCATTTACCTCACTGTATAAAAAAGTCAACACACTCTCACTCCCTAAGCGTCCAGGAGCGACGCTTGGTCAGGGTCCCGTGGCGTCCAGTTGTGACGCGCCGAGGCTCCTTCAGCTTCATAAATGGACGCAAAGAGCTTTCAACTGATTGCAATGTATTCCCATCGGCGTCGGTATTTGACGCTTAGGGAAGCACGGCATTCGTTTGTGTCGGAGGCTGTTAAAGGCAATGTGAGCGTCCATTCCCATTGGATAACGGAGAATTGTACACCCGGAAGTAAGTATTCTCCTTACTGTCGATTGATTTGACAGAGATATCTCCACTACTCATCAACAGTAGTAATACAATTATAAAATGCAATAACGTGCTTTAACCAGGAGGTGTCCCTTTCTATCAGCTGTGCACCGTTATGGCGTAAATACAGCCTATCTACCAATTGGATCAAATATAAAAGTCAGCCGAATTAGTGTTGATACTGCAAGGAGACCTATTGTGTGAAAAGAAATGTAAGATGTTGTTTAATTGCTTATATATTTCAGATCCACGTCAAGTTTTCAGTTTTGGCTGCAGTTCCTGTTTGTCTAGAAGTCTTGTCATCAGAGCTCTATAAATAGAGTTAACTACGGCAGATATGTCATATTTAATGCAGCCGAAACTTGTATTACAATGCCGTTATGTGATGACTTTCAAAGAGAAAAGCAAGCACACTCGGAATAATGTATTATTTAATTTTTTTATACAGTCTATGGTTGCTACAGAGGATTGTGGGTAATGTAATGTCTTCAGCCATCCAAAACTCATAGAAAACGACTTGTTTCTCAGAATTGAATTGAAAAACGTGACAAAAGCATTGTACACACACTAAACCTATCAATATCGTTTAATTAACAAGGATAATATGGTGTTTTTGAGTTGATGAGTAGTGGAGATATCTCTGTCAAATCAATCGACAGTAAGGAGAATACTTACTTCCGGGTGTACAATTCTCCGTTATCCAATGGGAATGGACGCTCACATTGCCTTTAACAGCCTCCGACACAAACGAATGCCGTGCTTCCCTAAGCGTCAAATACCGACGCCGATGGGAATACATTGCAATCAGTTGAAAGCTCTTTGCGTCCGTTTATGAAGCTGAAGGAGCCTCGGCGCGTCACAACTGGACGCCACGGGACCCTGACCAAGCGTCGCTCCTGGACGCTTAGGGAGTGAGAGTGTGTTGAAAAAAGTAACTGTGTCGATAATAATAATAATAAACAGGAATTATATTTGCAAAGTACTTTGTTTCCAAAACATTTCTATTCACTCCTGTCGGTTGGGGGGGGGGGGGGGGGGGGGGGGGGGCTCATCTCACAATGTCGCTTGGGGCCCCAAGTTGGCCAGGGACGGCCCTGCACTGGCTCATTCCTCTGTGATCAGTCATGGCTGCCTGATACATAAACATCCAACTAAAATAAAACATTGAACTACGAATGTCTTCCTAAAAGTGCTTGACCGACATCTTAATGATCTATCGCATATTTAAATTCCATATGACTTTCTTAGCTACATTTTCATTCGAAGACCCGCTCTAATTATGTTTTTTTTAAACCTGTATTTACCTAAGACAAAGTGGTCTGATACACAATTATTTTAATAGTTCAGGTATTTATGGACATGGATATAAAGGACTGATTGAAGGGTCTTGTTGTAAGAGATTATTCTGTATATATAAACTTGTTTTTCTGAATAATGACAATGCAGAAAGTCATCATGGCATTAAAAGCTATTAAAATATATTAAACAAAACATATAAGCCAATTGAGACATTTCTTGAAGCAAATGTAAATAGTCACAAAGCATACAGGTCCATAAATCCATAACTGCCACCACTTACCCAGTGCGTGTGCGTTTCTAGTTTATACTAGTAGTAGTAGTTTATTCTACCTTACATTACTTAATTTTCCATTCTGTGCTTAGTATATGTTATTGCATTTAATAATTATATATTTTCCTATTTTTACTTTCATCATTATTTTTGCTAAATTATATTCCCTTATTTATTTGTATATCTTAAGTACAGTGTGTTTAATTGTTGTAGGAGCCTGGGCCTTTTTAGATTTATGGCCAAAACTATTTCTGCAGATAGTGTGCATATGACAACAAAGCCCTTGTTTTACTTCTGACAAGTTGTCAGATTCAAAAATCCAATACTCTTAAATCAAACCCAAATGGTTCAACCCTCTTCTTATTTCTTATTGACTTCAGAGCCACTTTTTGTCGTTGTCGTTCTTGAACGCCTCTTTTACGCAGCAGCAGGAAATGGTGGAGCTGCGGTGATGAGAGAGAGAGAGAGAGAGAGAGAGAGAGAGAGATAGAGAGAGAGAGAGAGAGAGAGAGAGAGAGAGAGAGAGAGAGAGAGAGAGAGAGAGAGAGAGAGAGAGAGAGAGAGAGAGAGAGAGAGAGAGAGAGAGAGAGAGAGAGAGAGAGAGGCAGCAGAACTGGGAGGAGAAACCACACACACACACACAACTACAGGCGACAACTTACTTTAAACACTTTATAGGTAGCCCCTGCACACTTAAAATCATCTGAAATGTGTTATTTTGTGCTTTAAACCAGCTAAAGTTAGGTTTGTGTAACGTTTACGCTGCGTTAGTGTTAGCTACAATGTAAAAAATGTGTCCTTTACTGACTAGGCTTTGTAGCGGAAGATGGGCTTGGCTGCCCGAGTTTTTGTTTCTCGTTTAGGAAATGTAACTGCTGCCTTATTTTAACCACTTCTTCGTGTCCGCGGTTCTTCTTTTAAAGGGTTTCGTGCATCAGCAGGTGAATATGAGCGACGCGAATCAGCCCAAAGTTGAACTTTTCGTGAAGGTAAGTGATTGAATGACACCCTGCCCCCCTAAAGAATACAGTAAGTTTTGACACGGCGACAACATGTGACATTTATGTATTTAACGGGCTCCCGAAACGGTGTCTTGGAAGTGTCGTATCTTATTTTATAATCTGCATGCTCAGTGTATTGTTATCAAAAGCTGATACGATATCCCTTAGTGCTCGTATGAGTAGACATAAAGTCACCTTGGTCGTTTAAATCATAATACAGCCTCTTGTTTTAATATTCATGTCAGTCAGACTTCTGCTGACACACCGGTTTTATACATGACAGTAAAGTTAATCTAATTAAATGCTCGTTAACCCAATGGGCTGACGACTTTCATCTATATTTAGTAAGTATGGCAGGCAGGCTAATGCCACTTCCTTTGAGTCAAAAACTCTTAATACAACAAATATGGCTTCCCCTCATGGTCCCACATGTTTAAATAAAGATCTCTCTGTATGAACATGTGAACATGTGCACTTCCCTCTACGCTTTTTTCCCTTCAGGGGTGAAAGATGCTGTTGTAACTTCTCTGAAACCTAGTTTCTAGTCAGGCTCTTCAATGTTGATAACCTTAATTAACAGGAAGTATAGTTTCACATTGGCCACAGTAGCAGAAAGCAGCGCCTTACTGTTTTAAACTGACTATTCACACCACAGGACAAACCCTTAATGACTGAACATAAAAGATGTCTTCCTGCAGCCACGCAGGGAACATTTTCAGACTGTATGGTCATTTCCTGAGCAGCATACAAGCTCTAGTAAATACAGAAATGAATCTTAGGTCTATTCAATTTTTTCTATTGTAGTTTTTTTTATGTCTAGGGTCACATCCTCTCAATAGCTTATTTTCTCCAAAGCAGCAATCCAAAACCAAAGCCTCTAAATGTTTTAAAAGACAAAAAGGAACTACTCGAGAAAATGTGTCATATCTGCTTGAAAGTGATAGTTACATTTTTATTTATTTGTATAGTTCCTGACTGATTTGTATATCAACTGAATGGCGATGTTCATTATTTGGTCTACAAAATGTTAGTTATTTAATTTTGCTATCATATAGATTTGAAACGCTTAGTCTTTAAATCTATTAATTAATGGACAAGAAATTAATTGATAACTGTTTTGACAATCAATTAATTAATGAGGTCACTTTTAAACAAAAAATGACACACTTCAAGTTGTTCAAGCTTCTCAATAATGAGGATTGTGTGCTTCTCTTTATTCTACGTGATGATTAAAAGAGAGACATTTGAAGACTTCAGGTTGAGCTTAGGGGAATTGTGATTTTTAAGTTAAATTCTTATTCTTACCGACCTAATCATAAAAATCATCATTATCATATGAGACTAAGAAAAGCAGCAATGGATCCAGAGCGTTTTGTCATTTCTGCTTTAAAACATTATATCAGTGATTGATATCAACAACGTAGTAGTTTATTCAAAGTAACAGCCAAGGTCCCAGTATGTGCCTCAACACAAAGGCACTAGAGCTGCTAAATTGATCAATATTAGATGTCTACTATTAATTAGATAAGCAACTATTTAGATTATTAAATAATTGGTTTAAGTAATATCTTATTTTTTTTTACAATTTTGAGTTATTTTTCTATGACAGTCAACTGAATATCTGTGAGTTAAGGACAAAACAAGACATTTGAGGATGTCCTCTCTGCCTTTGGGAATCACTAATAGACATTTTTCTAAACTTTCTGTCTTTAATCAATAAATTGACACTACATAAAATAACACTCGAAGCCTATTTGAAACAATGGTCTGACCTATTTGAGGTAATATATCAGCACTTTTCTTTTTGTTCTGAGTTTGAATCTTTATGGTTTATTGCACTTATTGTTAGTCTCTTTAGATAGAAGCGTCAGCTAAATGAAATGTAATAAAAATGGTTCACATTTATTTGTTTTTGTGTCCCAGGCAGGGAGCGATGGTCAGAGCATCGGCAACTGTCCGTTCTCCCAGCGCCTCTTCATGGTGCTGTGGCTGAAAGGAGTCACCTTCGATGTGACAACAGTGGATATGAAGAGGTAAGAGGCGTGTGGCGCAGTGGATAGAGCTTTGGTGTTGGGACCAGTGGGGTCACAGGTTCAAACCCCACTGCAGTCAGCATGTCGTTGTGTCCCTGGGCAAGACACTTCACCCCAAATTGCTCCTGTGGGGATTGCCCACAGTATTGAGTACGTAAGTCGCTTTGGATAAAAGCGTCTAACAAGTAACATGTAATGTAACACAGTGTGTAATGCACACTGGACCTACTTTGTGTGTGTGTGTGTTGACTCAACAGAGAACACTTTTCTTCTGTTTTAATATAAAACAACAAGAGGGCATTTCGTTCAGATATTGAGTGATTAACGACATAAAGGCACACTGACTTTGATTTTCATGACAACTGTTGAACTTTTGATTTGCAAACATTAGTCATTTCCTTTGTTTTCATACGATTTCCTATCTTTTTTTCCACTATCCTTATACCTCTCTCCTGCTGTTTAATCCTCCATCTCTTTTGTTGGATTTCTGTTTGGCTGTTTCTGATGTTATGTTTATTTCCTTCCACCTGTCAGGAAGCCGGACATCTTGAAGGATTTGGCTCCAGGTGCCCAGCCTCCCTTCCTGTTGTACGGCAGCGAGGTCAAAACGGACACCAACAAGATCGAGGAGTTTCTGGAGGAAAACCTCTGCCCTCCAAAGTAATCACTTCATATATCTGTTTTACAAAATGTTATATTTTGCTCTTTTCAGACCTGAAAAAGTTAGTTGATTGACACAAAATTAAACATAATTTCAGTCATTTCCTTACAAATATTTCCTGTCTTCAGCTTCTCAAAACTGAGAAATTGCTGCTTTTCTTTGTCTTCTGGGATCCTAAATGAAATATCTTTGAACAAAAACACGTTTTTGTGGAGCTTAAACGGACATCAGAAATATAATTGCTAGCTGTTTGATAATCGGTTAAAGTGATTTTGTGTGCAAAAAATGCCGGAAAAGTTTTTCAGCCTCTCCAAAATATACATTTCCCGTTGTTCTCTGTTTTATATCCTATCGAACTGAATTTATTTGGGTTTTTAACAAAAAAAACAAGACATTAAAGACTTCACTTTGAGAAACTCTGATAAACATGTTATACACCAAAACAACTAATCGTTAAATCTAGAAAACATGTTTTAGTTGCAGCCTTATCTCAAAATATTATCTTGGTCTTAAGGACATTTCCAAGGTTATTTTGCATTATGTTCATATATTTTTTGAACTAAATAATAAAAGCCATATTTTAATGTTATTGTTAGTTGCAGCACTCGTATAGCTTGCCTCTTACTTTGACTTCATTTGGTTTTGTGTCATTCTGTTTAAATCTTCTGTCTAGATTAACATGAAATCACTCACATTACATTTGAGTGAATGTATGTTTGTGATGACTATATTAACCCTCATCCATCTCTCTGTTTAGGTATCCCCGTCTGGTTGCCCGTAACCCAGAGTCCAACACAGCAGGCATGGATGTTTTCTCCAAATTCTCAGCTTACGTCAAGAACTCAAACCCTCAGACCAACGAAAGTAAGTAACTGATACTTCAAAATAAGAGAATAACTTCACTTAACTTTAGTTTGAATTCAAATGTAATCTGGTCCTTTTAAAAGACTCGGTTGTTATCCAAGGTATTTTCTGCTGAGCTTCTTCTGTCTTTCTCTGAAGGACAGAAAACCAGCAGGGAGTTAATACCATTACAGTCTGAGCATTTCTGCCACAGTTGAAACAGGTCACCAGCTGCTCTCTGTGTTGTGATCTCATTGGAAATGGCAGTGGTGTTCCATTCAAGCCTTTAAAAAAAAAAAAAAATCCTCTCTGTTAAAAAGACTTGGATTTGCAGATATCTGGATATGTTCTGTGTGTGCTCAGACTTGGAGAAAGGCCTGCTGAAGGCTCTGAAGAAGCTGGACGACTACCTCGGCTCCCCACTTCCTGATGAAATTGACGAGAATAGCGCCGATGAGCTCACTTCCTCGTCCCGCCCCTTCCTGGACGGCCAACAGCTTACTCTGTCTGACTGCAACTTGCTGCCTAAGCTCCACATCATGAAGGTAATCTCCTGCTCTAAGCTGTGCAGCGCGGGGGCCTGGGAAGACTAGATTATTATGTTGTTTTTGCGCTTAAACTGAAGACTTGGGTCCACCATGTTTTGTTGATTGTGTCTCTTATTCTCTCTCCAGGTGGTGTGTTTAAAATACCGAAACTTCAACATCCCCCAGTCCCTGACAAACCTCTGGAGGTACCTGAACGCAGCGTACATCAGGGAGGAGTTTGCCTCCACCTGCCCAATCGACGACGAGATCCACATCGCCTACTCCTCTGTAGCTAAAGCTCTCAAGTAGGAGCACACCAGGAGGCACAAGTCATACAACACATACATAGATTACATAGAATACAAAAGCACAAAAACACACACTTACCCACCTGCACACTCACTCTGAAGCAACCTGGTCGATCTGTTTCTCTAGAGGCTTTTATTGCATCTGTTTGTTAACTTTTTTACAGCTTTAAAATCTACTAAATAGTTACATGTACAAATCCTTGAACATTTGTGAATTTTAAGGAAAAAAAGAAAATCAAAAAAACTTTTGAGAATAGACATAAATAGACATGAGCTATTGACACCATCTATTTTGCGTAGAAAAAACGTCCTTTGTTATTTATTTACTCAACATTAGTAAATAGGCCAATTTCTTTCTTCAATTGTTGGGTCCTTGAATGTTAGTGAACTGGGCCAGATGTATTGATTGGGAACCCTGTTGATATCACCTTTGTATAATGTTAGTCAATATAGCTGGTTAATTGTTGTCAAACTATACTGTTAGTTTTACTTCAGAGGTGTTTGTTCCTGATGTCTTCCTGCTTTTTGTTTGCCACGTGTATCAGTTTACACCATGAGGTAAACAAGGAAGCGCTGGAGGCAGATAAGCTGAGGTTAAAACAAACACAAGCACAAAAAAAGCACTGTGGCAGAATGTATTTACATTTGCTTCACAGTAACCTTGTTTAGGATTTTAACGATTGATCATGTTGCTTGCAGGTCACACACACACACACACACACACACACACACACACACACACACACACACACACACACATTTAAAACTACAGCCTGTCTTGTGTCCAGTTTCACCATCAGTAGATACACACTGTAAAGTTGTTTCTCGTTCCCTTACTGATGATGTTTTTTTTACAGTATTTCGTTGTATTTTTTTTTTAGGGGGGGGGGGGTTAGCAGACACAAAGCTGCCTACCATATCAAATTGCCAGCCTCAAACAAAATGCTTCAACTCTTCTTTTCAGTCTTAGTATTAAGGAAGTGGTTTTCTTTTTTTAGGTCAAAATGTGTACCAGTGCCAAAGTCTCTTTTGGGGTTTGCCTTTATTTTAGATTATTAAGAATGGATGTATTCATTAATTCCTGAGGGAACAAGGCCTTTTATACTTGAGGACTACAAATGTATTTTTTAAATCTACAGTTTCTTATTCTTCACTTCAGAGAGGATGTGGGGTGCTTTTCCTCGGCGGCCTGCAGACCGGGTCTCGCTTTAGGGAGGCAGAGCTGAGAACAGACACAGGAAACTCTTTCAATAGACCCGGGCTTCCCCTTTCTGCCCCCCCCCACAGTGGGCGGGAAGGATTATTCAAGATTACCGAGCTTGTTTGAGATCCCCTGTTGCCCTCTTTTTTTATGAAGAATCCTTTTAAGTGTCATATAAAAGAAAGAGATCAGGTTGTTGGCGTTTGAAAGTGTGGCCGAAGAAGCCGTTTACTGCTAACGTGCTGCAATAAAATCACTTGTAATGCCTCCTCTGGTCGCCTTGGGAACCAGACCCGTGCTGTTACATGTTTCTCATCAGGGGAAAACAAGGAAGTTAAATGTAAACATGCTCAATGTTTAAAATTGAAAATGCACTTGCAGCTCTAGATTGCCGTCCATTATTAATTGAAAGTAAAGGTTTTTCTTATTGTCAATTAGTCCAATATAAACGTTTTTTATGAATTATCCGACCCAGTCTGTGAATCTTAAGCCATTCATTTAAGAGTGTTTAGTTGCAGGGGACTATTTTTAGCCGTGTAATAATACACACTTGCACTAGTCAATATTTTCAGCAGAAAAGTCTCAGAGTGCAGAATCTGGAGGCAACAAGAACATTTTGTTATAATTTGTAGAATAGAATAAATCTACTCTTGCTAGTCTGAAATCATTTTTGTTAAAGTGACTTGAAATTGATCTGTTTGGAAGAACTGGAAACAATAACCACACATCTCATCCGAATATAACGGCAGCTTGTGTAGAGTAGACAACTTTATTAACTTAACTGCATCTATGCAAATGAACATGTGGGATGTTTGTAATTAAGACTTACACCGTAGGTCTGTTGTGACCTCATCATGTCTCTGGGATTAGAGTGAAGCTCTTAAAAATAAAATATAACCTAAGTGCAATTTAAGACGATTAAAAAGACAATCTTATACACAGACTTTTATTATGTTAGACTAGTTTAGTATGAGCACAGTATTTTTCTATATGATTTTAATTACATTCTTCCTTGAGGTGTTATTGAGGACAAGTGTTGATCAAAGAGATTAAAGTGTATATTTTATATTGACTGAAACTTTCTAAAAGTGGACCAACGTTTAAAGGGATAGTGTCTGAATAATTTCAGTGCTCATGTATTATTGTATTAGTATTGAGGAGTTTTTCACGTCTTACCTTGGGACTTGATTCGATTTCATTAAAATGTTACTTTAACTGGTTTGTTCTCACTTTTACTTTGTTTTGAGAGTCATATTTTGCCACTGACTTTGTTTCATACATTCCCCTGCAACCCTGTTAACCTTTAGTTTTGTCCTTTTACATATCATGTAGTCAAAAGAGGGTGCACTTAAAAGTCTTAAGAAAATGGCGTGGAAACTAAATCAGTAGATTCAAATAATCAATGAAAACAATCAAACTAGTAACACAACTGAAATGTATTTGGATGTTCAAAGCCCTTTACAAGACACATTTATTAAAATCCCAATAAATAAATACCTTGTTGAAAAATTCACATGTGACTGATGTTTCTTTTTTTAAATCCATTATGTGGGGTAACCACGTGAAGTCAAGAAGAAGACGTTCATAAGATGCACACAAATACTTTTTCAGTTCCATACAAGCAGTAGGCCTACACTCAAAGCGATATTGAGTGGATATTAAATTGAGCACAAATAAGAAGAAAGCATCTCTTCAGTGTTTTATTAGTTAAATTATTCAGTCCTAAAAGTCATTTGGAGTTACATACAAAGGATGTTCTCACATTCAAAACAACATCGCAAATATTTTGAGTTTCACCTAATAGTTGTTTTTAAAATGTAAAAACTTAAAGTTGTATTAGTTTAATGTAAGGAAACAACAGTCTGACAAATCATCAAACTTATCAATGCACAAGTGTAAATAAAGATGGTGGTGAGTGATCATAAACCACTAGATGCGGTGAGATTGTTAAAGTAAATAAAAACTATTATTCAGAAGTAAACAAAACTTTAACTTAAGAAAGATATAGTAATACCACAGTTTACAAATACTCTGTTACCAGTAGAAGTCCTGCATCAAAACTTTACTTAAAGTGGACCTATTATGCTATATTGGAAAAATATATTGTAGGGCCATACCTATACAAAACATGTCTGTGAAGTTTTTTGCTTAAAATACCAAACAGTTCACCCATTGTAGCCATGCCTCATACTGCTCAAACCCCTCTTTTGCAGCCCTGTTAGAGAAACGCGGATTTTGGGTCCTTAGCTTGAAAAAAAAAAAGAGGAGGCGGAGCTAATGCCTGATCAGAATTCTACCGGAGATAAAGTTAAATTCTGCTGTGATAAAACGCCATCCTGTTCTAAACCACATCAAAGATTATTTCTGAAACAGTATGGAGCTCAAATGCTTTTTCTCTTGCAGGTTCATCACAAGGTGAGTTCCTTTTTTTATTTCCTGCTTTTTAAACACATGTGCTCTACACAGTACAGGTTAGCTCTGAGTGTTAGCGAGGCTTGCTAATGTAAACAAAGACGAGATTACGTCCAAAACACGTCAGGCATTGTTTCTGATAGCAATTTTCTGTGGGTCCGCTGCCGATTTGACGTCAGATCGGCAGCAAATCTGTATCCGCTCGTATACCCCTGTTTTTAAAAGATGTGGGCACGGAGGAAAAGAGAGAGGGTTTTATTTTCTGGCGCTGCGTGAGTTCCCCGACGCACCGGGGACACATATTTATGTATAAAAGACACCACAAAGTGCATTTTGCATGATAGGTCCCCTTTAAGTAAAATCACAAAAGTATTAGCATCATATAAAGAACTATTGTTCAGAAGTAAACAAAACTTTAACTTCAAAAATATGTAGTAATACCACAATGTACAAATACTCTGTTACCAGTAGAAGTCCTGCAATCAAAACTTTATTTAAGTAAAATAACAAAAGGTATTAGCATCATACGTACCAGAATTATATGTACTCATAATGCAACATAGCCTATTTCTAGATGATGCAGGTGGAGCTTTATTAAAGGGGTTCGTTTAATCTCTAATAAATTAATGCATCTTAATTTATTATTAATTTATATATTTTGGAGGATTCAATATTTGCTTCTAAAATGTAGTGAAGTTAATGTTTAAATAAGCATAAAATAGAAATACTCAAGTAAAGTACAAGTACCTAAATGCTGTTCAGTACTTCGTTACACTCCACCACTGAGTACATATTCACACACACACACACACACACCACACACACACACACACACACACACACACACACACACACACACACACACACACACACACACACACACACACACACACACACACACACACACACACACACACACACACACACACACACACACACACACACACACACACACACACCACACACAACACACACACACACACACATTGTTCAGGCCAGCAGCAGGCAGAGTGCGGGCAGCAGACAGAGAGCCGCTCCTCTCCAGCTGAGGGCAGTAAAGGTCCCGGCGGCGTTGCACAGGTCGCTGTCGCAGCAGACGTTGGTGTAGTTGAAGTAGAGTCCAGAGGCGTACTTCTGTCCACTCACTCCACACTGGGCCGGGACCGCACAGCTCTTCTCGTACATCGTCACTTCTAGAGAGCCTACGAAAGAAAAGAGAGGACTTTATTTATTGGTGGTGCATTTAGTGATGGGGAGATAATAAAAAATGATTCCAACAAATCAAAGGAGAAAGAGAACTACCACTAAAAAATGTATTATTACATTAAATATGACTAAATTAATTATATTGCATAATTGTATTTTTAAACCTTCCTATTAATGAATCTGTTTGTATTTCAAAAACATACTTTCCTAATAAATGACATATTGAATATATTGCTAAATCTATGAATTGATTAAGAAAAGTCTGTTGTCCACAGTGTTAAGTTTCCCATCTTATAACACTGCTACTTTACATTTTTCCTCTTAAGTATTGTAGTCTGAATACATTCAATCAAATTGATTTTCTGTTTTTATTTTAGAGATATTCTAAGATCGGAAAATAAGTGCTGGAATATACAGTATGAACATGTATATGTATTTCAAAAAGAGGGAAGTGGATGGTTTTCAAAGTAATGCATAGTTATGCTTGGTGTAATGTGAATTTCAAATTCAGTAGTGATTACATATGAATAAGGTGTAGACAGAATGAGTTTTTACGACTCAAATTGTCTAGGTATACTGATTACAAATATATATATTGTACTGAATACTACAAAAGATTTTGCACAACATTGATGCTATTGACAAAATAATCATAAGGGAATGTGAGTACGTTTTGGCAGTGTTTCTTATCGACCACATTTTACACCTTAAAGTTATAGTTACATCAAATGATTTTTGGGTCATACTTTGGAGGAACAAGGAGGTAAACAACTAAAAGCCAAGGCTGTTAAATCGCCACTGTCCCACAGACGGCTCACAATCAAATCCAGCCCTGTATTTACTGGTTAAGGTGCATGTAAAAGAAACAGAGCTGTATCCTCCGATGAGACACAGTGAACGCTTGGCCCCACCCACAGAGCCCAGAGAGCTATTTTTAGAGATAATTTGATGGCATCACAGGCAAAGTGAACTGACAACCGGCTGGATGAGAAACTGTGCTGAGATCTGATCTATTGAGTCACTGTGTTGTTTTGTTTTTACACCTGTGTTGAGACAGGATCATGCCTGAAAGAAGGCCTTCAAAAAACATTTGTATTCTAGTATCCTTTGCAGCAACATACACAAATCTTACTGTATATATGTGGACAATGATTTTTGGCTCTGAAAGAGATGATTTAAGGATTTATCTGGTTGATTGACTTAAAACAGTTATTTTACACAGGCTTTATTATAGATTGGAGAGTTTCCTGGGTTTTCCTCAGACAAATTATGCAGGTAACTAAATATGGCTGCTTCTCATAAACAGACGTGGTACACAGGATTTAAAACAAAACCACTATAAGAGATTTCAATTCAGCTTTTAGCACCCTCTGCCTACATTGGGAGGGCAGTGTAGGGATTCAACCACAACAATGACGACAGTTTCTACACAGTTCTTAAGATTATTATATTATAGATGATAGTCAGCACTTAACTTAATAACCACGATTCTCTTCAAATCCAAAACAACTGTCCTGATACACTGTATATTGACACAGACATATGCACAGACTGCACTGTGAATTTCAGAAATCTGTTCCCAACAATGAGGCTTTGTCTTCCAATTTGTGATCCTCCTGACCTAGATTATTAGATATGATGTCATGTACAGACACAGAAATAAACACACACACACACACACACACACACACACACACACACACACACACACACACACACACAGGATCTTACCTCGTCTTCCTGTGGCAGTACTGGACAGGCAGCGCTGCCCAGACGGACACTCCTGAGGGAACTTGAAGCAGTCCAGAGGAGAGATGGCCGGGAACATACAGGTGTAACAGGTCAAACAGGCTGAGGGAAACAACAGGAAAAATGTTATAAGTGTATTCTGAGACTGATCTCCATCAACAATTATTGATTGAGTTTATAACAGTTTTGATATGAATGCTTTCATTTTGTTATTCAAGAAATGTGACCAAGTTATGTACTGAGCAGGACAGTTCACATAAGTAACAGTTTATTACAGTGTAAGGTATGCTACTACTCAGTAGTAGCATACTACAGTGGCATTGCTTGTTGCAATGCCACTGTAGGATCGTTGACTGATGATTAACTTTTTTCTGTTTGATGCACACTTCTCTCAGAGGGAATCCTAAAAGATCTTGGATAATATAACATTAAAAAGTAGTGTTGTTATTTTTTTCTTAAAGTACCACATACTGTAGCATCAATTTGCATGGTTGGATAAACCTCATCTCACCCTGAATGCCGCCCCGTATTTTCGTAGTTTCTTTGAAAAGACTGTAAAATATAAGCTAATGGCACCAGCTAGTTTTCCTGGAGTACGAAAGGCTTGCCGTGAATTATGCCTGCAGTGGATGCACTAATCAAATTATCCTCTGCAATCGGATTAAGCAATAAGGACACACTCGTGATTTTAGCCAAGAATCACAACTATTATATCCATGAGACTCTGAAGAGACATTTGTATGAATTTGGCCTATTCAGAAGAAATAAAACAACTGATGTGGATGAGGGGATAGCTATGTGCATTAGGAACTGCTATTATTGCTCCTCCTCACAAACTTTTGTGTGAGTCTCTGTTTACCTGCGCCATCAGTGGTGTGATGAGGTTGACCCACCCTTGCAAAGTGAAGCGATGTGGTTGCTGCAAGAAAAAAACACTATTTTTCCAAAGTTTTTCTCTGAACTTTTATGAATTTAATCTGAACTTAAATACATGTCGGTTTTCTCCTAGATGTACCAATTGAATCCTGTTTTGCCTCAAGAAGATATACACAATTCAGTTGTAAGTCACTGTTAACACATTATATAATACCATAACAAGTGTTTAAATGTCATCTTGTAATAGTTTGACTTGTAAATACATACCTGCTAAAGGTAGACAGAAGAGGAGTACGATCCCGAGTTGTAAACAAGACATGATGCTTTCAGTAAGAAGTCTTTCAAACTGTTTTCAGATAAATATTCAAGCAGATCCAAAATCCCCTCTTGGGACGTTACAGCTCTCTATTCAAACGCACTGCTGCTCCGATACGTCCCACAACACATTCCTAAATTGAATTAATTTTCGTCTGTGAAGTCTAAACCCACACCGTCGTCTTTTTCTTTCTTTTTCTTCCACTGTATTTTAAGTAAAGCTGTTTGAGTTGTCAAAGTGTTCTCTCTTTATGTCACTCTTGGTCCTGCCTTGTACGTTTTGCCCATGTTACTCAGTGTCTCCTCCCTAAAACTTCTGATTTAATTTAGAGTGGTTATTAGGATCAGCTGACCTCACAGGAAAGGAGGTTCAAGTGAAGACACACCAAAGAAATGTCCTCAGTAATATTAATGCGAATTGGGGGTTTTAATAACAAAGAGAGTTTATATGCTATGATGACACAAGAAGGAAGATTTGGCTTTGACATGATTATTTTCCTCCTGGAATAGTAAATGCAATCTACCCAGGCAATTTGACAGACTAAGAAATAGACCAAAACAAGTATAATTGAGAAGGTTTATTTACAGTACTGATGTTTCTTATGTATTTCTGCTGTGTTTGTGTTTATCTTTCGTGAAACAATATGTCTTATATCTAAACTATACTAGTTTTGTGTCTTTTCTAATGCTTTATTTTTTCAGGTTGTCCCATTTTCATTATCACAATATCTTAGAAACAACTTTATTTCAAATGTGGCAAAAACTTCCACTTGGACTCAAGTAAAAAGTGGTTCAAATGTGGGGGTCAAAGGTCAAGCTCAATGTTACCTCAGAAAACTAGTTCTGGGACATATTTTAAGAATTTTAAATATGTTTCAAAGTCAACACATTTTCGACAGACATGGACGTAAACTGCATCATGACTGGTTGGCTGTGCATACAACCAGGAGGTGGTCATTTCAGTTTATATCTATTTGGTAATTTACTTGTGTTTTGGGTTCCTTGTAGCTTTAGGCTTTGTTTAGTTTGACATATAAGGGTTTTAGCATGGGTTAGGGACAGATGTAAATGTGCTAAACAAACACAAAATAATATCAAATAGAAAGTCTGCGAGAATTATGATTTATTAGAGGATTATTAAAATTAACTTTTACTCTATTACAACGCTATTCAGAACATAATATGAAAAGATGGCATTTTATTGCACCATTCACTAAGAGTTTTGTTGGGCAGGGGGTAAATTGTAGGTATAATCTCAGTATTTTTACAACTCTGGCTACAGTGTTGTTCTCTATGATCTTGTAAGATTTTTTGACTTGATATATATTTGGTTAGGGGTTTATGTGTTGTGTATGAGACAGCAGCTAAGCAGTCGGAAGAGACAGAAGGCACTAAAGTCAGCACACTGTAAATGGAGTCAGCATCTCCGAAAGAGAAAGAAAGCAGAGAGAGAAAGAGAGCGTGACAGAGACTCAGTGGAGAGTGAACAGTTTAACTGAATTATACTTTAGGGCGTAATGGAAGACATGAGGGCCGGACGGTCTGCTGACAGCAGTCTTGTGATGGAGTGAGTCGAGCAGGCTCAGACTGAATAAGCTGTTTACCAGTCGATTAGTGACACAGCACAGACTCCTGCTAGGTGCAGAACAAAAAGTATTTACAAAGCATTTTCCTTCATTTCTCTTGTAAATCAGGGTTTTTCTTTTCAGTCCGAATGTTTTATGTGGAAATTATAAGCTGGATATAAGTCATGAAAGTATTTAAGTATTTATGACTTGTGTTTTCTTACCTGTGTTTGTTGATAAAGAAATCAATTTTTGAATAGAGTTTGGGTTGTCTCTTTAGCCTGTGGTGTTGACTTTGGATTCACTTTCTCAAGGGGTCCTGCAAATGGAAATCTTAAATATGATCACTTCTGTTAGATAACAGAGATTTTATTTATTTAGAGCTCAGATATATATGATAATACGAGTTGAAAAATAATTTAAGGAGGAAATGTGGTTCTCAGTTAGCACATCACTACCATTTGTTTTGGGCTTGCCCTTTAATAGTAACTTTTTGGCAAAAGATCCATTTAGAAATTGAAATGGTACTACAGGAAAAAATCCCATTAAACTGGGTCGAATTTCTATTTGGGCTCGTACATTCAATCCCCACAAACCTCAAAACAAAACAATTATTTGGAATTCTTACTGTTGCAGCAAAAAAAGTAATAACTAAAAGATGGCTCAAAGCGGACATCCCTTCTCTTGACAACTGGTACGACAAAATCCATGAAATGTATGTTATGGAAAGAATCACTTTCTCAATGAGGCTTCAGGAAAATACATTTGAGGAAATATGGAAAAAGTGGAGAATTTACATATCCCAAAGATGACCATCCCTTGTTTGACTGTGTTTATATACACCGATTGAATGTATATGTATAGGTGTGTATGTATGGACACATGTATGTGTGTATGTGTATTTTATGTATATATGTATGTTGATATGTATGCATATGTACATGTGTAGACATTTGCCATTTCAAACAACCCCTGTGTACTTTTTCGTTTTTATTTTGACACATTTTGTTTGCTATTTCATGTCATTTTCGGGTCTCTAAAAATATATGATTTGAAAAACTGTACTTTTAATATAATGTGACCCCAAATAAATAAAGAAGAAAAAAAGAAAAAAAGAAATTATTTAAAACTGTAGTTGCATTGTCCAAAACTTCCAACACAATGTGGGAAAAAAATCCCAAAACATGAACTGACAATGAAATGAATTGAGTATTGAGGGGAAACAAATGCAAAACTGACGGGGTCTCAACTGGGGTGTCTGTGTGAGTTCATATTATTAACTTCAGCAAAAACAACTGTTGGGTATTGCCTCTATGACCCAATCCTTAACAAATACAATGTATTTGTCTGCTGTGTTAGAGGAGATGGTTTTCTGAGGACGAGGTTTCATCAATATTTAACTGAATGGGTGTATATCGGACTGTTTTTGCACGCAGTGTAGCAAGACTGCTGGTGCTATTTTGGCCTGGAATGTTTTGTGTGCTGGCTGAAGGATCTCAGTGGACAGATGGTGTTCTTTAATCCTGTCTGTGCCCTCTGCCTCCCATCCTCCATCCCCCATCCACTATTACATCAACCTCACATTTCCTGTCTCTTTCTCCTCCTCTGTGTACAGAAATACTCACGTATAATTTGTCCTTCTTTCGTCACGAGTTGCCTCTGTTTCTCCGACTGTCTTTCGAACAACCCTTGGCTGCAGTGACTTAATCTATTCAATAGAAGGGGATAGTGTGCAGCTCATTGAATCAAAAACATGTTTATGCATAGTTACACTATTACTGCACTGACCTAAGAATATAAATTCCCAAAGTTTGATTAAAAAAAGACTACTGGAGTATAAATAATGCTGTCAAGATACAATGCTTTTTCTTTAGTGTCTGACTTGTTTATCCAACAATGTCAACAGTTTCCAACACAATTTGACCCACATGGAAAAGCCAGATTATGTGTTGTCGCGACACACAGTCGCACTGGCTAAGTAATACAGAATATAAGCATTTAATCTGTGATGACTTTGATCAGAAGGAGAAGTGAAAGACAGCCTGGTGAAATAAATCAACTGTGAACCAGATGAGGTTAACGTCATTAATTTAAAGAAAATTGGGAGAGGTAAAAAATAATCATTTGATTTACAGTACACAGTCAATTTGCATTCAAAAATTCAGCATCAAATCTAAAAGCAGTATCTGATGATACAGCATCTAACCTTACACAAACAATTCTCCAGGATTAAGAGGAGAATATTAAATATGGGTCCTTAATCCAAATCTCCTAGAACCGTTCCAATCTGTTCCAATTAATTCAGTGTCTAGATACAGGAAAGGGTGTCAGAGTTGGTTTATACTAAGGCTAGCCAAAGTAGGGATTTCATCTGAGGGACACAAACTGTTAATGTATGAGCCAGCTAATGTGAAAATGTTAGAGGTGTTTAAATTACAAAACAAGACATTTAAATATATTACTTTTGACTTTGATTAATGTAAGACATGTGCAGATTAGTGGATAGCCTACTGAATCATTGTTATTGGTGGTGATAGTTGAGTCCTAAACAATGCTAATGAGTTAGATTTCCATTAACAAAATTGTCCAGCTAGTGCTAATTATATTAACGGTAAATGTTTAATTGTCATGTAAACCAGCCTTATTTGTGACACAATTGTGTTTCTACAGCAGAGCCAGATGTACTTTTGAAATTATATTTATATACATGTATAAAATCCCATTTTAGTTGTATAAACCTTAGAATCAAAGTAATTAAATCCGAGAGAAGAGGTTAATGAACTTGGAGATAGCCTACCACAGAATAGGTCTATCTAAAAGAGTAATTATAAAGTTGACTAACAGGCACTATGGATATTTTGCTCACCGTTATCGATTACCTTAATGTGTAGCTACACTCAACTGTATTGACAGCCGATACAACAGCAGCTGTGGTGACTGAAATCAGCGCTGATTGAATCCGGACAGGACGTGTGGGGGATGGGGGGTGCTGGATGAATGGGAGGTAGAGCTGCTGCGTCAAGCACAACTAAAATACGTGAAGAAGACCGGAAGTTAGGCGAAGTTGCTTTGAAAAAACAAGAGTTTAATTTTCTCTCAAAGAAAAAACGCATTTAAATGATTTAATTTAGGCTGGACCACCATTATTTTAAAGTTGTATTACATTGGCTACTTTTGATAAAGTGACATTTTTGTTTCAATTGTATCAACCCTATGGAAAATGAGTTGAAATGTTGACACAACATTTTTGTCTTTTTCTCCTTAAAATAACACATTTATAGTATACAGTAACATAAAACATAAAAGCTATGATGTGATAGAAAGCTAAACCATAATTATTTTACAATTGTATCAAAACATTTAAACATAAGTTTAGAGATTCCTGTTCCTATATTTGCTGAATGAAGTAAAAATAATTTTGAATTGCAGTGCACATTTTAAATTATTCACAGCGACATTTATGTATAGTATTTTTTTGAGATAATAATGATATAATTAACTAAGAATTCAATATAACAACCTTGTAGCCATCTTATTTTGAAAACGTAACCGGAACGGTGCGCGTTGACAGTCGCCATCTTGACCTGACCTGTAGTTGGTCGGCAGAGAAAGACAAGGCAGAGTAACGGGAACTGGGTCGGTTTGGAAATTAAAACTAACAGAATAAAACACGGCCGAGCGTGGAAGCTGCGACATTCCAAACAGGTAAGATACAACAATATACCTGTGTTTGTTATTTGTGCAACTTCTGGGAGTGTTGTGGATAGTTTGCCCTTTAAAAAGATGTGTAACATCATCAGAAGTATTTGAGAAGGAGCAGTGAACTGCTGGGCGTTGCACTCCTGCAACACTCAAGATGTTTTCTTCTGGGCTGAGGAGGTCCATATTCATTTTGCAGCTGGATAACTCAGAACTGCGTAGTTAGAAACATTGATTTTATTTAGTACCAAAACAGAAATGAGTGTAGCCTCCTAAATATGGCAAATCATATCAATAAAATACTGTTCCACAAGGTAGCCTAACACTAATCTCAATAGTAGGTAGACAGGCTTAACATATCCTTAGTTTAGGCACTCTTAACTGGGATTGAATAGCCTAACATTGCCATTAAGTATTCATAATATACTCCATAAGCTGTTATTATTACAAAATAAGATGCATATCCAAGTCCAGCACTTGTTGCATAAGTTATAATGCAGATTTAGGAAGCATCCTGTGTGGGAGTCCCATGTGCAGCCTCTCAGTGGGTGCCTGCTTTGAGTTACAGGGAAGATGATGAAAGGGCAATTGTCCCAAATCCAACCCCCTGCCCAAACATGGAAAGGCTTTGCAGCATGTTGCAGGGGTACTAAATAGAGTTTTGTTGTAATCTAACCTTGGACAATGCTCCTCCTGTCCATGTTCAGCTGTTGCATCTCTGTTTGTTATTTCAGCTGCCCTTGAATGTTTTACCAGTGATACTGAGTCCTCCTCTTACAGACTAACAATCACAAATTCTCATTATGAATTGTTTATTGCCACACTTCATTTGAATCATTGGATAGTGTTATAGATATTTACTTTTGCAGCCTTGAAATATTTCCCAAAGAAGGCCCTTGTTCCATATTTCCATCTCTGTCTGTGTTAGGCTGGGATCCTCTGTTTCCACTTCCTGGCATCTACAGATGGAGAAGTAGCTGGTGGAGTACTAGTACAGAAGAAGGGGTGAGAAGTGTGACAACTTTGGCTACTGGCAACAAACTTCCTGGAAATACTTAGAGTTCTAAGTTTATTTAAATCATGGCAAACATGTGCCCATATGGCCGCTTCACCCACGCCGTGGTGCGGGGCATCCCAGAGACCTTTGGGAAGGCAGTGGGAGACAGCCGTAAGAATGGAGAGACCTCGGTGGAGCTGGCCAAGGCTCAGCGTCAGTTCGGCTGCCTGACAGGAGCCCTGAGGCAGAAGGTGGGTCTGCAGCTGATCGAGATCCCCCCCGACCCCGAGCTGCCAGAGAGCTGGAGGATAGAGGATGTGGCCGTCATCCAGGGAGACACTGCGCTCATCACCAGGCCCTTCAAACAGCAGAGACGCAGCGAGGTAACACGGTGGAGAAGAACAAGCCCTGTCTGCACCCTAATCCTCTCAGAATGCACTTAATCTTGCTTTGTGGGATAAACAGCAGTGGGTCATATCAGTGTGGTACTAGAGGGAGACTATAGAGACTTCACTTGTTCACCATGACATGTAGTTGTATTTAATGGTTCATTATTAAAATTAGGTCAAATAACCATATACATTTGTTAGATTCATTTTGGCAACTAAACTATCTTATAACTTAGATGTCAGAGATTCCGTCGACACTTCATTAACGGGATTTGTCATTTCTAAAATGGAAATAAATATGAGAGAGAATGATGTCACTTTGTCACCGATTATAGTTCTGTAATATTTGAGCAAGTTCAGTTTAAAGACCTGAATTGCGCCCCAATAGTCGATTAAATAGAGATTTCCCATTAGCCACCTGCATTATAACCAAAATATGAGGAAATGTTCCTGTGCATCTAACCCTCTATAGGCTATACCCTGACAAACCTCTGTTATTCTAACATTATGATAATACTGTAATAATTATAACACAATGTAGTGAATTGCATAATTTTTTTCAAGGCAATTTGTTAAGAAATGGTTCCTTTTAGTGTACTGTTCTTTGGAACTTGTTAGGCATTTAAGTATTTTTAGAGTGTATTAAATAGATGAATAGTACAAATGTTTTCAAGGAAACATGGGAACTTATGTTGATCCCGAAAAACATAGTCAAATGATCATACAAAATGTAGTTGAGCCTGAATATTTCTCTTTTTCTCTTTCCTCTTCATCTCTCCAGGCGGAGGCGGTGAGGAAGGTGGTGTCAGAGCTGAACCTGACCGTGGTGGAGATGGGGGCCGAGGAGGGGGACTCTGGAGGGGCGACGCTGGAGGGCAGCGACGTCCTCTTCACAGGGAGGGAGTTCTTTGTCGGCATCTCCTCACACACCAACCACAGAGGGGCGGAGGTGCTGGCAGACACTTTCAGGGTAAGTGGAGCGGAGAAAATATGTAGTAAGGACTGAATCTCTACGTGAAGCAACAGAGGGTATGTTTTCATAGACTGTAGTAATAAAGGGTGTTTAGTAAAACAAACAAAAAACACTCCAAACACTGAATCCAGCTACCAGAGTGAGCAGGTGGCCGTTTGCTGTGTTGTGTTTGGGGATTAAACTGTGATGAATGACGTTGTTCCATTGGCCAAATAATGACCACACAATCAAGCCCCTAATGCTTTACAGAACCCTCCCGTTAATATTGATCCTCCACTTCTCTTGAGTGCATTTTCCGTACTTCTGCTCCTCCTAAAAACACACACACACTTGGCATTCATGTTGAATGTGTGTGTGTCTTTTTTTTAATGAACATACGTTGTAGGACTCCTGAGGCCTGTACTACGAAGCTGGTTCAACCTAACCTGGATATGTTTGAGTTAGCCGGTTGGCCCAATCCAAAACATACGCGCTCTGGCTAAACTGTACTACGACGCTGGTTGTCAAGGGGATCGCTCAAGCCAGCCGTGTCCTATCTAGTTAGGTGCGCGTTCACATGAAAGGGGTGGTATTTGGAGTGTTCGACCAATCTCAAACACGGACAAGCGTACTGACAGCGCAGCGTCATACTTCCTGAATGAAAAGTGAACTTTAATATTAGTCAAATATGAAGAAGTTAAACTTTAAACATCCATGACTTAAACACTTTATCCAGGATAAAAGCCACATAGCTGCACCTGCAAGGTGAATACAGCTGGTAAAAGAAAAAGTGTTTGAATGCGTACATTAATAGGTTTATGAAATCACTGCCCCGTCTAAGACACGAGTGGATCTGACTTTAATTAGGAGAATTTGACTCGAGTGTTTCATCAACTTAATGTGTTGCTTAAAATAATACTTCTGCATACAGTATGTGACACTGTGAGTGTTGCACGGCCAGATACGGCTCAAGAAGCTGACTCAAATAAGGAAATATATGATACATTATGATGTGATATGATGTGATATGATATGAATGATAATGGGACACATCTACGTCTGCACTCACAGTGCCGCGGACTGTACTTAATGTTACTCTGATCCGGTTACTTATGTCGTGGCAGATATTTAAGTAAGCTTTCTTAACGCTAATATTATAATAGTCAGATTGCTCTGAAGATGGGAGGGGATATTCTATTAATTTTCACGTTCACACAGTCAGTTGATTTTGGCCGGCCGTCTTTCCTGCAACGGCAGTTTTTCTGTATTTCCTCTATCCTGTAATATGAATTGATCGCTTTAAACTCCGCACACGGAGCTCTGATTGGTCAGCAGGCGGTGCTTTCACTGAGTTGATCTCTTAGCCTGCCACCTAACCTGCTCCGGAGCAGGTTTGCCGCTCAGCATAAGTTACCATGGAAATCTAGCCTGCTAAAAAGAGAACCAGCGTCGTAGGACCGGAAAGCCCGAGATTTCCCTGAAGTTAGCCCGCTAAGCGAAAATCCAGCTTCGTAGTACAGGCCTCAGGTCAGAATGGAGGATGAAAGAGGAAGACCAGCTGACTATTTACCTTCAATGCATTTTGATTTAACATTTCTACTCTAGCGTTTTCATGCGGTTCAATTTCCATAAAACAAACATTTAATACTTGAAAGTGCTTTTTAGATATGTATTGTTGCATATTTGTTATTGTGATATTAACACTAAGTGGTAGTGACAGTAACAGCTTTAGCTTTAATCAATTATCTTTGGTCTGTCAGCTATTGACTGAAGGATTACCATAAAGTTTGATTAAGACATTCATGACGCCCAGAGTGTTTGCGTTTTTTCAACTGAGGACTTCAACACCCTCTCGTGTCACTTCATATTCCAAAAACCAGATGTTTACAGACATTTGATCAAAACACCTTGTAGCCTTGAGTAGCCTATGTTTCTCTTGATTAAATGCAAGTGCATTAAGCCCTACTAAAGGACTATATAGACTAAGGTAGCAACTGCACGACTGCCTCTGATCCTGCACAGGAAGCGCCAGAATCACACAGCTGGCCGCTTTGTGTAAAGATAGCAAATGTACAAGTACTTTTCCTGCTAAGACAGAAGTGCCCTCACTAGATAAGAGAACATGTCTCTTTTGTTGTCTAACCGAGAGGGACATTATCTGAACTTAACCTTTCAACTTCCATCTGAGCAGGACTTTGCTGTGTCCACTGTCCCCGTGTGTGGTGGAGCCCGACTGAGAAACATCTGCTCTATGGGGGGGCCAAACACAATCATCATCAGCAACAGTGATGGGGCCAAGAAGACACTCCGGGTAAGTGTTTATGTGTGCATGTGTATTTGGTGTTGACGAGTAAATTGCCATACATTGTCTTATGAGGACTTGTTTGACTGGTTTTATTTTCCGGTTGTATAAGGGAATTTTCCAAAAATATTACTTTTAACCTTAAAGTTATGTGGTCAGTTTCAATAACACTGCGGCTAATACATTAATTTAAGGTGCAACAAAACATAACTTAATATGAAAAAGGACAATTCCAAGCAAAATCCCAACATTAATTTTGTAACTATTTGCAGTGAAATAAGATCATAGAAAGTCCAAGCTTAAACATCTATCTATTCAATATCATCCCTGTTTTCTATGATAGTCTGTGTGTTTCTCTTCTGTCCCTATGTGAACTGCACATAATGTATACCCTTACTGCTGAGGTCATATTAATAACATCACTGGAGCCTGTGTGTAATGCTGGGAGCAGTCTGGGCGGTGCACATAGTAATAAGTGTGTTTGTCTCCAGATGATGGAACAGCTGACTGATCACCATTATGAAGTGCTCACTGTTCCAGAGGACTCGGCAGCAAACTGCATCTACATCAAAGGGCCGTCTAAACATGACTTCCTGCTCCACCGGCCTGCAGAGGAATGTCCTGACAGCGCCTCTGTGAGTACAGCTGAGGAGCTTCTTTTTTTAAATGCAGGCCTAAGTTTAAAAAGAACACTGTCTTTATTAAATTAAAGCTTGGGTAGTCGCTATACTTTTGGGCAAAAGATAATCTCCAGCCTAAACTAACAGTGGCTTAAGTCCCTCTCGCTAGCCAGCAAATTCTTCCCCGAATCACTCGGTCCTATGAGTAAGTTGTGTCGTCCCTCCTCTCTGCAGGCCTTCCAGAAGCTCCAGGACTACACCCTCCTGCCTACTGCCTGCAGCGAGGCCTCCAAACTGGGAGCCTCTCTGTCCTCGCTCTGCCTCCTCGTCAACAGAAAGCACACTTATTTCTGAAAACTCAGTACATTAGTTTTACACGTGTTCATTGTGGAGCGAAGTCACAGAAACACTTTCCACAGATTAACATTCTTGTCTATTTATTTCTAGGGGAAAACACTGACTCACAGTATTTGTATGAGATCCAAATGTAACATCTGCTAACTGATTCACTGTCAGCTGATTTTCAGCACAGCGGCCCCACCTGCTGTACAAACAGCACATCACCCTGGTTTAATCACTAAAACTTAACCACTACATTTAACTCGAGTCCACTGAGCTGTCAGATCATATTTAATGAAACAGAATAAAATGTGAAAACTGTTGGTACAAATGTTTTAATGCAAGAGTGTTCGACATGTCAGCAAGTATAATGGAAAACCAGTCAAATGTGTGGCCTAAAGTACAGTTTTCCAATACCTTGTAGTTTTGACAATTTAGAATTACCTGGACGAGCAGCATAACATTAACTTACATTTCTGCTTTTAGCAGCAAAGAGGTTGAATGCGGAACCTATATTCATTGTTTAAGACCTGCCGATCCCCTGTGGTACACAAATGCTTTGTAGCTGCTAATGGAACCAGTTTGAATTGGTTTAGCTTTCTTATGTGTCAATTTGTAGCGTGTGTAGAGATGCCAATAAAATTAAACTGACAAACTGTCTATTGTAATTTAACTACACTGTCCAATAAGCGAAACATGTGTGGAAGTGCGTAAAAGAACGAATTTGTGACATCAATGGAATTTCTTCAAATTTATTTGTTTTGGTAGAAAGAAAACATGTTAACGGTTGGACTTGGCAACTCTCTCCAACTCGTCCTTCTTCTTGATGGCGTAGGAGTTAGATGAACCCTGAAATTAGGAGAAGAGGGCTGGTTAGTTTACATCAACATGCAGTCACAGGAAAATATACAAACTGAAGACCAGAATTACAGAAAACTGAAAAATGGAAGTGAAATGTCAGGCAAAAATAAAAGACACTCTTTAAATTCTGAAACTCTACCTTTAAACAGCCCATATGGGATACAAGAGAAACATTAGTGTCTGACAAATTACATTTGGTGAATTAACACGGGCCGGTAGTGTAATGTATCTTTGTTGGTGATTGACTGGGCCACAACAGACTACAGCCAATGAATAAGCAAAGATATTTCCTCTACGAGCACTCTAGCACACCAGGACAACGGGTGTATCCAGGCGTGACTCTAGCCTCGCTTTATGCACAAAATACAAACAATTACAGCAAATTAAGTATAATAAGTCAAACATAATCTGAAGTACCTCTACAGCAAACATTTATTTCAATCTGCCATGATGGGATTTTGGAGTTGGACAACCAATTCAATCTGTGGAGACTTTAAACTAGCATCACTGGTCACCATTTGCTCTATTGCAGCCTCCAAATATTAGTTTAAATCAGCCGTAATCAGAATTACAGACGGTACTGTTTCAACACTACTTAAAAATCAATGCACACGCATCAGAAGGGTGCAATAATAGGAATGATATCAAGTTATCTTCAACAGCTATTACACACAGCACTTCAATCAGATAGTGAGCCTGCTATAAGTGAATAAACCGTTACCTTAGCGGCATTGATCAGCTCATCAGCCAGGCACTCTGCAATGGTCTTGATGTTCCTGAAGGCAGCTTCTCTTGCGCCTGTGCACAGCAGCCAGATAGCCTACAGGACGAGGAGAGACATTAGTGACTGACAAATTACATTTGGTGAATTTAACACTGGTCGGTAGTGTAATGTATCTTTGTTGGTGATTGACTGGGTCACAACAGACTACAGCCAATGAATAAGCAAAGATATTTCCTCTACGAGCACTCTAGCACACCAGGACAACGGGTGTATCCAGGCGTGACTCTAGCCTCGCTTTATGCACAAAATACAAACAGTCATTACAGCAAACTAAGCAACTTTCAGAAAGAAAAGAAAAAAAACATTGGGTGCAGCCTTGGATTCTGACATTTCTGATTTTAGCTATGTAGAGATGAGTTGAGAAAAATATAAAAATTGGGTGATATTTTGCACAACAGCTGCATGATTACACTGCAGTAGCAATGGAACATCCAATTGGCTTCCTTTTCTCATTAATGGAAGTTATTTGCCCACTTTTACAGCAGTATTTATTTTGTTTATGGACTGTACAACTCCTGCCATGTAAGCTCTAAATAAATGAAAGGTGAAATTGTCATTTGTCTAATGTGTGTTGCATTAAAAAGAATGCAAAAAAAGCAAATGTTCCAGGTATGTAAAGCACAAGCTCTTTCATTTTCTGGGATGATTACATTTTCATATTTAAATCAAAGACTAGCCTTTAAGAAAAACAATGTTTGTTTTATTTTAAATAGTATATGTGAGTGGGTTTACCTGGTTGACCCTGCGGAGGGGTGACACGTCAACAGCCTGCCTCCTGACGGTACCAGCACGCCCAATACGGGTTGAGTCCTCACGGGGTCCACTGTTGATGATGGCGTTCACCAGGACCTGGAGGGGGTTCTGTGGACAACATTTTTATTTTTAACTTAATGTATATAAACTGAAACCCGACACAAAAGTTGTTTTTTTCTTCAAATGTAGTTCCTCAATGTCTGCTAGCTGCATGTTCTCAGTGTGTTAAAAATGTGTTATTAGCTGGGGGTACATTTATAGTTTTTAATTAATATGGGATAAAAGAGAAATATTATTGTGTGACAAATTACATTTGGTGAATTAAACACTGGTCGGTAGTGTAATGTATCTTTGTTGGTGATTGACTGGGTCACAACAGACTACAGCCAATGAATAAGCAAAGATATTTCCTCTACGAGCACTCTAGCACACCAGGACAACGGGTGTATCCAGGCGTGACTCTAGCCTCGCTTTTGCACAAAATACAAAAAAATTACAACAAATGAAGCATGAAGTAAAACATAATCTGAAGTTCCTCTACAGCAAACATTTATTTCAATCTGCCATGATGGGATTTCGGAGTTGGACAACCAATTCAATCTGTGGAGACTAAACTAGCATCACTGTTCACCAGTTGCTCTATTGCCGCCTCCCAAATATTAGTTTAAATCAGCCTTAATTATGCTGCACACTACATGCATACCTCTCCTGTCAGCAGGTGGATGATCTCGAAGGCGTGCTTGACGATGCGACATGTCATCAGTTTCTTGCCGTTGTTGCGGCCGTGCATCATCATGGAGTTGGTCAGACGCTCCACAATGGGGCACTGGGCCTTACGGAAACGTTTGGCCGCATAACGTCCTCCAGAGTGAGGCAGGTACTTGGCATACTTCTCTTTCACAGCAATGTAATCCTGTAGTAAAAAAGGAGGCGATTTAAACATGGTCTGTGCAGATTTTACCCAGGCTTTATTAAGGTACAGCATGTATGAAGACTTAGTGTGTCTGAGTTGGTGATTGACTGGGCCACAAGAGACTACAGCCAATGAATAAGCAAAGACAATTTCCTCTACGAGCACTCTAGCACACCAGGACAACGGGTTGTATCGAGGCGTGACTCTAGCCTCGCTTTAACAATCATATACAAACATAGAGCTTTCTATAAATCGTGAATATTGAAACAATTTTAGTTGCCTTATAATCATAGGTTTCTATACAACAGCTACTTTCACTTCACTGTATACCTGCAGGGAGATGTCATTGATCTGGACATCGTCGGTGCTCCACTTGCCGAAGAGTTTGATCTCTGGGGACTCAGCCACAGCTGGGGCAGTTTCCCACTCAGTCACTAAGGAAAAGGTAAAAAGAAACACGACGGTGGTCAATTCTTGCTGTAAAGTTAAAACAAAGCCCATTGCTCTTCAGACAACTATTTGTGAACCTTAGTGTTCACCTATTACATTTTACTCAGGACTGGGGAATTCTAATCGTTCTAGGACATCCATCTTGGGAACATGGATATGCTCCCAATCACAAATTGTAACATGCAGGGTTGATATTGACCACATTATAAAGACAAATGTTATTGTCGCATTACATCCGTATACATTAAATTGATCTAGCGCTAACGTTACGTTGCAAAGCTTTCTCCGTTTAAATGTTTACCTTCACGGGGTTACATACGTCGCAAAATAAACTACTTAACTATGTAGCTTTAACAATGATACGCGAATGTGAAGTTGTGATTGAGTGTAATGGAAGAAGCTTGTTAAAAAGGACAGCCACATTTTCACATCAGGGCCGGAGATGAAGCCTGGTTCTCCTTAATTAACGTAACGTTAGCTTGCTGTCAGCTAAAAAGCTAGCGGACACTTAAAAAATCAGCGTCATTTTATAAGGATATACAGGGGTAATATTTTCTACTGAAGAATAATGAGTCACGTTTTTACACTATTGCAGTATTAAGATAAATAGAGTAATGAATGTGAGATCTATCGATGTGGCTGATCAACATGCCGCATCCACATGTGCTAAGAAGCTAGCCACATGCTAACGCTCACCGTTGTGTGCTCGTAGCAAAACTCTTAGTGCAAATAAAACATCAGAATGGCAAAACTTTGACGTGTATTTCTTATTTTTTGGACAACAGGAGTAAGCATCTTGTCTACTTAACAGAGAAAACTATTTTTAAAGACGTATGGAAGGAGATAAATGTGAATTCTTTACTCACTTGTGTCTGCCGTTCTGTACCACACTTCTCAGAGACGGAAAAGGGCCTTTTCCAGGCGGTGCGTGCAGATATCCGGTGAAATGGCGGGTTACTTCCGGTGCGCAGAGCATGCAGGGAATTGTATTTTTATTTGTTTCTAAGAAAGCAACTAACAAGAGGGCAATAAAGACTTCTTAAATACAAGTACTTGGAAACTACAAGACTACTTGTTAAGAATATAAATAAGTTGATAACATGTTTAAACTTGTCCATGCTTTTATCTTCAGTAGACTCGACTACTGCAATGGTGTCTTTACAGGCCTCACTAAAAAATCTATTAGAAAGCTGCAGCTAATTCAGAACGCCGCTGCTCGAGTCCTCACTAACACTAAGAAAGTGGATCACATCACTCCTGTTCTGAAGTCCTTACACTGGCTTCCTGTGTGTCAAAGAATAGATTTCAAAATATTGTTGCTGGTTTATAAAGCTTTGAATGGTTTAGGCCCAAAATACATGTCTGACCTACTGCTAAATTATGAACCATCCAGAACTCTCAGGTCTTCAGGGACTGGTCAGCTTTCTGTCCCCAGAGTCAGAACTAAACATGGTAAAGCAGCATTCAGTTATTATGCTCCAAATATCTGGAACAAACTCCCAGAAACCTGCAGGTCCGCTGCAACTCTTACTACTTTTAAATCCAGGCTGAAGACTTTTCTTTTTGCCGCTGCTTTTAATTGAACTATTCACATCTTAAACTGAACTGTAACTTTTAACTTTTATCCATGTATTTTTTCTTTTAATGTTTATTTTATTATCTTTTTTTTTTAATGACTGATTTTAAATGCCATTTTTAAAATGTCTTCCATTTTTGTAAAGCACTTTGAATTACCTTGTGTTGAAAGGTGCTATATAAATAAACTTGCCTTGCCTTGCCTTGCCTAAGCTGACATTGCACAGGTCGATAGTCCATTTGACTCATAACCTTTATTTATACAGTCTATGCTCATAACACGTGAAAGCAATGTTATGCAAATGAGGATGGAAAGAAAAAAGTTTTGCTTTGGTTTGTTTCATGTTCTCAAATGTATGTTGTCCTTTTTTTGTGTTTTGCATGTATTGAAAATATAAAGTGATTTTTTTTTTCAAGAAAATTATTTATGTATTTATTTGCTTTAATCTGTTCACTCTTCCATTCATCCAAATAAAATATTTTACAAAGTAGGTTGACCTTTGTCACACCTAAACAGTACATAAGGAGAACCAGATATACATAGTTTGGCTTTAAAAATCAAATAAATATATTGATATTTGATTTAATAATTAAATTAAGAATAGAGATAGAATTGGAGGATGACCCCTCTTTAATGGTCACACACAGCACACACAGTGACATTTGACCTCTGCATTTAACCCATCCTAGTACTAGGAGCAGTTTTGTGCTGGTTTAAATATTTTAGGGTTTCCTGAACTTACTAGACAAATACTTGTTGTTGTAAAAAATAAAACAAAAAGAGACATTACAAATGGCCTTTTATTGAGGAATTGACATTGGACACATTTTCATTTTCCAAATACTGTAGAAATTGTAGGACAGAGTCAAAATAGTAGTTTCTGTTTAAATGTTAAAAAAAACTGTCCACAACCACATTTACATTTTTAAAGCAATAAAACTTGACCAGAGAAAGGACATCCCTTAAATACATAATTTATGCAACTAGGTTAACTAACTTGTACAAGCAGGCATGAAACAAAGGACGCAGCCATCAAAATAATACTGCAAAGCTAACAACTTTAAAAACAGTTAATCAATTCCCTTCTTTTTATCTGGTTAAACCTTGTGCAATGAATACTTTACTCAATAAAATCCACTTGTTGTTCTATCACACAATCGATATTTGCATTCCTTTTTTCCTTTTGAGCAACACCTATTTTGTACATAACATCCAATAAAATGCAAACAGTTAATAGAAATCCCTTCTCCAACAAACAGACAAACATGTAGGTAAAACGCCTGAGATATCTAAATGGGATGGGAGGTAAAAAGCGCCATGAACAATAGTCTGGTGGACAAGTAAACACTAATATAGCACTGCCCCTCTCCCAGCCACTCTTCATCCACACCTCTTCATCCTAAGCACCATCATTAAAGGCAGTGTGTTGTAGCACTTCGGTATGGGACACAAAACACAGAGGCATGAGGGGAAAAGGTAAGGCTTAATCTATGAAATCTCTAAAGCACTGCATGATAACGATAGCATATATGATATTTACGGTCAGATTTACACATAAATTAAATGGAGGAATACAAATATATAAATTACTGCATCACAAGATGAGCAGGGCAGTGAGTCTGTACATGTAGACACAATGACAGAACGTCGATCAGGCACTGTTGAGTTGTGGGTTGTTTTGAGGTATGTGTGATCAAACACACAAATGGATATATTCTGTGCTCGCTTTCATTCTAAATAAAGGGGCACTCCACCGTTTCTTTACAGTCATGAGGGACTACTGAGCCTGTAAAAACAGTACAAATGTCTCATCTGCAGCATTGATACATGACCCTTCTGAAATTCCCTTTCTGAAATGCAAATCAAAACTGCTGCAGTCCTCTTTTATGTTGATTTGCTTTACTGTTGCGGAGTGTAATAATATAATGGCTAGTTTGTCACCACCCGCTTGGACTACTGCAATGGTGTCCTGTTCGGGATTCCCAAAAAAACCCTGGACAGGCTCCAGTATGTCCAAAACTGTGCTGCTAGGGTACTCACACACACAAAGCCGTGGCAGCACATCACTCCCACCCTCATCCACCTACACTGGTTGCCGGTCAAGTTCCGTATATCCTACAAAGTACTCCTCCTTACCTACAAGTCCCTCCATGCCCTTGCCCCCCAGTCCCTATCGGACATCCTTCACCCCGGAACCTGCGGTCCTCAGACTCTGGCCTGCTTACCACCCCCCGCAGCAAACTGCGAACCTTCGGGGACAGAGCCTACAGTGTGGCAGCCCCCACCCTCTGGAACGCTCTCCCTGCGGAGATTCGCAACATCCCCACACTCGACGCCTTCAAAAGGGCCCTCAAGTCCCATCTGTTTGCCAAGGCTTTCGGCCCCTAATCGATCTGTTGTTTTGTCTGTCTGACTTTTGTTTTGTTATGTTTCTTTTTGTCCTATTACTTGTAAAGCGACCTTGGGTCCCTTGAAAGGCGCTATATAAATGCAAGCTATTATTATTATTATTATTATAGTTTAACCTTTACCAAGTTTATAGGAGCCTTCATATTGGTTGCTTCTTAAAGTTTGGGCCTTTTTATTTTCTGAGAAAATACCTTTAGCACACATGGAAATGCTGGATTTGTTTGACAGCAGAAGGGTTAAAGGTAGGGTAGGTAAGTTTGAGAAACCGGCTCGAGATACACTTGTTATATTCCATGGAATGCTCTTAACATCCCGATAGCAATGAATATCTTAAGTGTTTTGACAAAAAATCCATACAAAAATGTCCTCTGTGGAAGCCGTAGCGCTGTAAAAAGCACGACCAATCATTTTAGCCGGCCCGGCTAAAATAACTGGATGGCCTGCCTGCCTGTCAGCCTTCCATCTGTGCACAAACTTATCTCGTGCCCTCATTGGTCATGTGCGCGTTCGTGTGTGTTGGAGGAGGGGCTCTATAAGGAAGTGGCAGATTTTCTCCGGTTGTGTATTTTCAAATTCTAGCGATCTCGAGCCGGTTTCTCAAACGTACCTACCCTACCTTTAATAAGAAATAATTAAAATATGTAGTTTTACATGTTGATGAAAACCAAGCAGCTGGCTGAAGTTTCATACACTGTACAGACACCAGTATTCCCACACGTTCTTAAACATCAAGGTTAAATAATGTTGTACTTCCTCAACGCCGTTTACATGAGAAACAATAAGCATCTGCTGGGGGAACACGGATGATTTAATAATGTTAAAATAATAATTTAATTTCTATTCTATTCTTGACTATTCTAAACTTACAAGGCCCCTATTTACCTCCTCAAATTCACAAACATTAAATGATTTCGAGGACTTATGGTCATGAGTGGTATAAATATTCTTATCTGATACGCTGCAAGAAAGCAAAGTAGTGGAGTTCCAACTATTCCCTTTTATGTAACTTAAATAGTTCAGAACCTATAGTCCAAACTTCGTCAGCAAACACTACAATTACGAAGTAATTTCTTGAATCTGTAATCCAAAAATTGAGATTACATGCTTCATAGTTTACAGGGTGTGTATCTCTGTTTGTGTGTATCTGTGTGTGAGTGTTTTGTTCTACACCAGCCACTTCTCCATGCACAGGTGGAACACAGTCTCATTTGAGTGCCAATACACGTGTTCCACGCCGGGAACAGAACAGATGATCAGATCTCCACGAGCCCCAAGCGTCTTCAGACCAAAAACATCCCTTAAATACATCTGAAACAGGAAAAAAACAAGCAATATGATTTATGGCAACTTTGTATTTATATGGAGATTTCAGGGATTTATTTTGTAAAATGTCTGTTATTTCTAACAGCTTATTTAGGTTGGAGAACAATTTAAAATCTTTGAAACTTTCTATAAAGAAGTTATTTAGTTGGAAATGTATATATGGTGTGTGCTTGTCAGGTCAATATTTGTTTTTTAGATATCTTTGAACTATATGTTTGCTTGTGCATGACACAATAAATAAATATGGATAGAAACAATATACAATAATGTTAGGGTATTAGTAATGTTCACAAGGGGCAATACAATAAAATAAAGGCTGTTGTTAATGTGTTTCTGTGGAATTAGTCTTTCACTCACATCCTGGTGCTGCATCTCAACGATCGTCTCGTTGTCGTCAAAAAATCCGAACTGACTAAAGACCATGAGGGACAGAGAGAGAGAAAAGATAAAGTGTGAGCATCACATGAGAGTCATCTGATCAGCCACAGTCAAGAAAAAGCAACATTTTCAAAGCAGAGACGTGTGAAGTGAGCGTAAAACATGTCATATGACAACGGAAAAAAAGGATTTGGTGAAGCAACAACAAGGCTTTCATAAAGGGTATCAATAATACTCTGGTATTTTATCTGCATTTTTGCACAGAGGACGAACTCACCTCGACTGCCAGGGAGTGATGACTCCATCGTCCGGTCCTCCAACCAGCACCAGCTTTTTTATTTTCAGGAAGTTCTTCTTCCACTCTGAGATAGAGAGGTACACTTTAGTACACTTAATTATGTATGGCTGCACAGCAATCCAGTATATACTGTAAGCTCTGCCATTAACTCTACTACGTACTGTGTATGATATCATTGATTAAATATATAAATCATTTGTTTATTATAAATAAATGTAATAAAAGGGATTACAATTTTAAGACCTGGATAGTCAAAGTTTTTACTGTCAAATTATAGACTAACTGAAACAAAATGCAAGTTTAGAAAACATTTACAGACAAGCAACAACATCCGTCTACTTTTTTGTAGCTATGAGCTCAAACCTACTGTTGCATCATACCAATAAAGCAACATCCACTGATGGTTACATTCATTACAATTTTGGATGAGTTTTACCCTCAAATAATTTGCTGACCTGTTGAATTTGGATTTGATCGCTCGCTGTTGAGCAGACCCAAATAATCACTGCTGTTCACATACAGGTCTCTGTGGTGGGGGTCTGGAGGAAGAGGACAAACAACCAGGATGTCAAAACACTTATTTATGAAGCTTTCTTACACTTAATCTCATATCCTTTTCTGAGTTTGACAAGATCCAGAATATAAATAATTCTCACCGTTCCAGTAGTTGCAGATGGAGATCCTCTGACCTACCGATGTGTAGCAGAGGTGGAAGAGGTTGGACTTCACAAACTGTGGGAAGAGGTACCTCAAGTAGTCGGTGTCTGATGAGACAAAGAGCATGATGAGACACAAGCTTAACGAGTTATGGAACAAACAGTCCTTAACATGTTAAATCTGGAACAACTGATTTTTTGCCAATTTGGGGCGGTAACAGGTTAACAACATAACATTGAAACATAGTCTCTTCTGAGTAGATACAACAACTTGCTGATTTTCTAATCTTTCTAATCTGCTCTCTCTTTTAGCTGTTTTTGTTTTGTTTGACTCTACCAACTTTTGAGTGAAATATTTGTCTCTTTAACTGCTAAATGCTCCACTATTTACACCAGCTAACCAACATGGGTTGTTAAAGATGTCTTTGCTGGCTTCTGCAGTCGTAAACAACACAATGAGCATTCAGAGTGAACAGAAACAGTGAAGCTCAAACAAGAGCTGAAATCCCCTCTAATGGGTTTATAACAGAGAGAGAAGCTAACTAGGAGTGTTGCCCCTCTAAAAATCACAGATTCACCGTGATTACACATTGTCATTTGATGAATTGTTATAACAACTATTGATTATAGTTGCTTTAAACATAATCATGTGTTCAGCCTTTAAAGTAGAACTCACCTCCATACTGCCCGGCCTGCGGCGAGGACAGAGAGATGAAAGACTGGACGTTGTGGTCGTTGAGAGTCGAGAGGATGCCTCTGCAAATAAGCCCACCTGTGAAAATGACACACAAGTCTGTACATGAACATTTGTTTACACATTTTGGATATTTAATGTACACACATCATGTTTTTGATTATATATTTTCTTTTCCAGTGTATATTTTTTATGATAATTGTACATACAAATGAATTATACACAATAATATGCTACGACTTCAGTCTACACTTTTATTAATTCTAAGTGTCCTTTGGGCTTACTATTCCAAAATTAATGACTTTTTTATATATATTATTCTTAATATGTGTATTTAAGTTGTACTTGAATAAACAAAACGGAGTGCCTTGTTTTGCCCAACAAACAGACAAAAAGGTGCTAAATTGACTATCAGATAAGACAAAGTAAAACATTATGTATTTATTAACTAGTTGTTTTATTTTTAATCTAATCAAGATTGCACACTACTCTTTTTAATATTCATGTTTCTGATGATAAGTTTCAGTTTCAGTCAATTTTCAGTAAAGCACAACCTTTAAATCTATAAAAAACAAACATTTTTTAAGGTCAAATCTAGACGTCTTCACATAAATATTTGTGGTAACATGTTGTATAATTTCCACATGAGTAATTCACTGTTGGGCAAAGGAAATGTCATGGGCAAAGGAAATGTCATGGGCATTCACATATATTCCCCTGGTGTTTACCAACCGGAACTTTTAGCAGTTTAAATAACACACTGCAGGTTGGGAATTTCCAACGCCAGACTGAAACTGAAATCTCAGGAGTTGAGAAAAAATCCCATGTAAAGCCCCGTCTTTTAAATAAAAGAGTGAAATACACTGAGGAAACTTATAGCAAGATTGGCACAAAGACTGTTTTATAATTTTAAGAGAATACCACATTGAAGTTCATGTATTTCATTTGCAGACATGCACTCACAGACCTTGAGAGTAGCAGATAAAATGGACCCCGTCTTCTGCATTTTGCATTATTGGCTGAATAGCTTCCTTGAATCCCTCCACCTGTTTCCACATGGGCTGCAGGCTGGCACTTCTGTCAAACAAGTCGATGACGGAAACATTTGTGCCTGGATGAGACTGCAGGAGAAAGAAGAGGAACATTTCATAACTACAACTGCACTTAGATGTATTAATGGATCACTAGTTAATAAGGCCAAAAGCAACATAAGGTATATTTGTGTAAACTTTCTTGAAAATTCAGTTTGATATCAATTAATATAAGCAATATAGCCATGTGTGCACATAATCTGATTGTATCTAATGGGGCAATCACATGACTCGATACAAAGGGCAATCAAATGACTCAACTCCATTTGTTGTAAAAGGTCCGCAGGGATGTTGAGGTATACCAAATGGAAAGGATGTGCTTTAAATATTCATTGGGCAGTACAGGCTTTCTGAAGCAGACAAACTACGGTCTTGATTTCCGTTTTCTTTGCCTTCAGAAATATGTTTAATCTGGTTCCAGTCTAACAGCAGATGTGAAAAAGAGGAAGTTAATCTTGGTTTAACCTAATCAACCTTCATAATTAAAATGGCACCATATCCACAACTTAACCGCAATCTTAAACTGTGCGTTTGTTTCAGAAGTGGGTGTGTAAATAATAAAATAATTATTTTCAAGAAAAGCTGGACAGGGCCCATATCAATGTCCATTCATTACCGCGGACTTTACTGAATATAAACCTCCTCAACATGGACTACTAGCCTAATCATCATATTTTATAATCCAAACAGCGCACATTAGCTCAAGAAAGTTTTTTGTTTTTTACATTAACATGCAGTGTGTACAAATTAGTACAGTGCAAACTACAGGTAATATCGTCCTATTAAACAGAAATAGCAAATGTACCTCTATAATAATACATTTCAGTGCACCACACCTTTATTATAGTAGCCTACTGATCACTCAATGTCCCGTGTTATTGCAATTAGAATATTGCAATATATTGCATTACAATACATTTTCTCATTCTACTCTTATTATAAAAACTGATCAATGTTACAGAAGATAGCATGTTTTAGGTAGGCCTACACGTTGTACTGATAAGGCAGTGATATAAGGCCTGAAGTATATAAAGTATAAGGTCAACCCCTGAAAAAACAAAATGTACGAGTCATGTTATAAAGTATAAATATACTAAAAATAGCTAAAAAGGAGCCAAATGTAGCGACTCACTGTTCATTGCGACCACTCACCTCGTTTATGAACCGCTGTAAATCTTTAAAATCCCCTGAGCTGTCGAATAAACCGTGCACGATGATCACCGGCTTGTACCCGACCGCTGCAGCCCAGAGACAGGCACCGAGCAGCGGGTAGAACAGCCCGGCCGCCCCGCTGATCCTCCTCACCCTTCGGCTTGACAAAGCGGGAAGGGAGTCCTTCATTTTATCCCAGAACTATTAAAAAAAAAACGCTTAAATCGTGTTAAAAATGAAAGAGATTACTTTCAAATGTAAATAAAAACATACAATCTTGATATTTTTGCTAGTGTTTTGCTATCATCTTCATTTCCATTTTTTGCCCAAGCTGCGGTAAAAAAAGAGCTAAAATGTCGCTCATCAGTCCCTTGAATAATCCTGTTTTACACTAGTTGTATATTGCTTACTTAATAAAAAAAAAACAGCTGCAGCGCTTTGCTTTGGTTCCTTTTGTTTGTTCCGGTTTAAATTAAACGTGATGCGACTGCTGTAACGTCATTTCCGGTTTCGGCTCGTCCAATCAGCAGCTTGGGCACATAACACTCCCCTACAGTATGTTACTAAAAAGGTAAACAATTTGTTTTAAATGAAAAATTATAAATGTCGTTGTTCAGATATTAATTTTCCATCACAAATATGTGTTTTTCTTTAATAATTTTGTACTAATACTGTTCACTTGCATAGCAGAACAAGAAAGGGATGAGTGTTGGTTCTCACATTTGTTTACTGCAAATCCCACATCATTGTTGTCTCCTTTGCACATGTACAATTCATGTAGGCCTACTGGATTTCCCTAATGTTTTCTTAATTTGAAATGAACTTTAATGTCCAAAGTCGAACAGGATTATTGAAACAGCACATCAAATAGGTGTTGCTTGTTCCCTATCTCAGCGGGTCAGCGGCCTGAGAAGTCGCACCAGACACTGTACGACAAGCAGACTTTTGAAACAAACACAGCTGCACCTTTGCCAATCACTGTACTCTCACTCTCTCACTCAAATCATTAAAAATGCAAAACCATGTGATCACAGGCTTTATTAACCAGTCCTGCAGGTTGAGAGTAGAACAATAGGTCGTAGCGAGGAGGAGTGCCAAAGCCTCTTTACATTAATTTCAGCATAAAGTAAATACATCCTGAAGATCAGGTTGCTCCAAAGTAGGCAAAAGCTGATACTTCTTTGCATTGTTAACATATAGAACCAGATTTCTGGCTTTTGGTCCATTTCAAACAGACAGGTTAACAAGACAATAAAGGGTTTCCAAAAACATGTATCTATTAAAGCTGATGAGCAACTGCTGGAACATATGTATTCACAATAGAGGGTACTAGAAAGCCTACAGGTCATCTCATGACTTGGGAGTGCAGTCAGTTTCTACAGACACGTTTTGGCTTGTTCTGATCAATGACTGAGTGTCAGGTTGACTTGTTTTGGTTTCACCGACACATAATGGAGCATTAGATGCCCTTTAAGTGCTTTTGCTGTAGAACATAATGTAGGCTGCTTGGTCAGCTCTTGCAAGAAAAGAAAAGGAAAGTGACTTATTGCTTCATGAAAAAAGCATTAAAAAAAAGCATCAAAAGCACCACAGAGACAGTTTTCTGCCTTCAAAATTAGCTCAGATTTAACCGCTCATAACATAACATTCAAAACAAGCCGTATGAAGACAAAAACATTGATAATAATATTTTCTTTATTTTCCCAGGTTAGAGAGGTTGGGGAACAGGAGCAGCTCTACACGGTAGGCTGCAGTAGCTCCTGTAGCTGACACAGAGTGTCCTTCAGGGTGAGAGCCAATGTTTCCGCATGCGTTTCCTCACAGCAGTTGAAGGCGGTGATGGAGAAGTGTACGTGGTCTGCTTGAGGGTTGTAGCAAATGGCATAACCGTCAGGAACGAGGGGCCCGAAACACATCACGCTGTCTGTGTTCGCAGGCACCTGAAGGAGCAAGAGGGAGGATGCACGTGAGCTCATGTATCATAAGAAAGAGAGTTAGACATGAACAAATATCTCACAGCATTGTCTTCTGGATTTCAAATACTTAATTAATTTTAGTATTGAGCAAATTAATCATGAAAGTAGTTGTTCCTTTCCTTTCTTTTCTTGATAACCTCATTATCCAGCCCTTGTGAATATTATTCAAGCAAGCAATGGCTAAAATAGTGCTTGCTAATATTGGGGGAAATTTCTTAAGAGATTTCTCTTCCCCCCGCAGTTGACATGCCATTAAATGGCACATACAATACATGATATAAAGACAAAGCTCATCTCAAATTTGGCAAAAATAGTTTTAAATTAAACATATCAAAACATACCTAAATGTCTGTCATTAATATCAAAACATCTGACAACTACTGGCATTATTCATCTTTTACTAATTAATCTATTGATCTAATGCCGACTCATTAATCATTGTTCTGTATGTATATTAACGGCTAGAGACTGAGAAAAGTGTGAAAAGGAAGTACTGTTGACTGATGAATTAATCACCAGGGAAAAGAAAAGCAAGAAAACTCCCATTATGAAGCAGCTATTCATTATATATTGTAAAGGGGTAATAACACAAAATGTAAAAAATAGAGCCATAAAGACAACACAAGCTTCAGCACAGAACATCAGCAGGGTGATTGCTGGAAACTCCTAAATTACATTTTGTGGCAGTAAATATGCCACATTAAGAGAACATCACATGTCGCATAACAGAAAAACTGCTGATTCACCTGCTGAAAGTTCCCTCGTATATTTTCACTGTGTCATAAAACAGACAAATTAAATTCCTACTTCATGTTGTGCTACATGACTGTCAATTACTTCCATAAAACAAACCAGCAAAGCCACACTTGTACACACAGAAACACACCTGTCCGGTCCGGAGTTTCCAGTGTGTTGCGAGGCCGTAAGCGGTGTCCATGAAGATTTTGGGGATGCTCAGTCCTTCCTCGATGGCCTGCAGCTTGAGCCCCAGCAGGTGGTTGTCTATGCCGTGTCCATTAAGTACCTGAACAGAGCCGATAAAGAGATTTCAGAGAGAAGTGTTTATCAGTTAATATCAAATGACAAATGAAAGTTGACTTGTCACTCACCTGATGAGTCAGAGCTGTGTAGGCATCAACAGCTTCTCTGAACAGCTGTAGCTTTGCTTCGTGCTGCAACACAAGAAATAAAACGCGCTATGATTACATCTCTCTACACCTGAAAGACATGCTGAAATAAATGCTGTGTTAGCCACAGGGGATCAATTCTGTGGTGTTTCTCACCGAGACAGATGGATCATCGAAGGCCTGAATGAACTTGAGCGTCTGGTTTGTGGGCGAGCGGATATACTCGGTTCTTCCTCCTTTAAACATCCTCTGAGAGGCGATATCACAGGCAGGACAGACCTCATTGTGGACTCTAAAAACAAAAAGGAAAGGAGTTAATGGATTAAAACCTAATAGCACTGTTCAATTCAATATTTGTATCAACATTGTACGCTACAGGGCAAACAATCGGCTACGTTTTGACACTGCAGTTTCCATAAAAGTTTGTTGGATACAAGCAGGAAGTATACCGTTGCCATTGATTCGGTTAGATTTGTGCTACAATTGAAGCCCATTTATTTGGCCAAAATTGAAAAGGATGCTGAATTAGCTAGTAGCAGTTCTGTTTGCCACACAGCCACGTTTTAACAGACAACTTTACGCAAATGTGCTTGATACTGAAGAAAACTTTAAAATATGATGCAAGTTCTTAAGTTAAAAGGAACAACTTTTCTATGATTTATTTTATTTTATTCAATAAACTACTGACAACATTTCTCTGTGTTGTGATCGAATGGCTGCCATACATGTAGAGATTGAGACTCAAGGGAACATTTGAGTGGTCTCAGAATTTTTTTCAGAGTTATAAATGGATAAGTGTTAGTCACACTGGATCTAAAAATAGTTATATTGTCTCTGTGTGTTCAAATACGACTAAAACTCCTGAGAAACTTCCTCACTTATTTACTGTATTTTAATTTCTCAGTGAATCACCCTGGTCAATCTTTATTGTTTAAGTTATACATATAAATCACTAATTTGATTCGACTTGATTTTATACTATTTTGCACAATGTTTATATTGTGTTAATTTTCTTATGAATGAGAAAAACAACCTGCCCTTTAGGGACAATACAAAATAAAAGTAAAGCTTTGTAAAAGTAAATATTTTAAATCTGTAAAGTTAGTGGTGTATGTGTGTTCGTGTGTCATGTGGCGGACCTGTAGTAGGCGAGCTGCAGGGCGACCTGGATGAAGGAGTTTGGACTCAGGCTGTGCTGCTTAGGAAGCTCCTTGCCAAACTTTTTGAAGTTGAACACGTTCACGTCAAGGTCGTTGATTAGTCTGCAGGAGATTTAAAAAACATTACAAACAGACTTATAGGAAAGGCCTTGATCTCAAAGGTCAATGACAGCTTCCTTTCCTGATAAACATGTTTACACCTCTGTGGCTAAGGTCACATCAGCTTTGTTAGTTTTTCAAGACAAAGCAAACATGTAGCCTACGCTGAGCAGTGAGGGCATTCTTCTCTTATCATCACAAGTACTCATCGTGAACTCTACATTTATAGTGTGAAACTTACATATCGAGGTTCTGCTTGGCATGCTCTATGTCCCTCTTGATTTCTCGGTCTATGTTAAAGTAAAGCTTCTTGGGCATCGGTAGAGGAACCAACGGCGCTCTCTTTGGGTCTGGCTTCTCACTGCAGTCAAGAAAACATACAAGTGTGCATGATGTAAAGCTTTGTAAGATTTTATTAATATATTATGATTAAATCAGAGTACTTTTATTCAGTAACACAGGTCATCTTTGTGAGTGTTGGTTGGAGTTATTAAGCACCCTTTAATAAGAATTTTAGCAGCAGCTTTTAAAGGATTCTTTAAATAAAAATTTTAAGGAAATGCATTACAATTGGGCCTCAAAAACCATAAGACATGTGGACAGTACTTTCATGTCAGCATAGTCTTCATTTAATATGGTCCAGCATGGTAAGCACTATATATAGATACATTTAACCAAGTAACTTACTTAATACACAATAAAGAGATAATACCACTAAGTAAACAGTAGTGAGAACAGGATATTATCTCGTCTCGTCTCATGTTATCTCACCAGTAATCGAGGATGTGATGCAGCAGTTCTGCTATGGGCGGACCCTCGGCTGTGGCTGGTTCATACAGAAGACCCCACGAGCCGTCCTCACCCACCACAAACTGTTGAGACAAACACACAGACACAGTCAGACTGCTGTATCAATATGTCAGCTTTTCTTGTCATACGTGAATACTGCTGCTGCTCACCTGCAGAGTTTTATCAAACCAGCGGTTGCCGCTGTTTGAGAACGTCCCACCTCCGTGCAGAATCTGTGCTGCCTTGCGACTGGCATACCTGTCAATCAAAGTTGGAAAAAACAAGATGGACACAAAGAAACAAAATAATAAAAAGTCACTGGTGGTAAGTACATTTAGGCAAGTACTGTACTTTAGTACAATTCATGAATACTTTTAAATTACTATTTCCATTTTTGTTAAGTTCAGATAATGGTATTTCTGATGATGGTTTTGCTTAAGTAAATTTGATGTTTGTTTGTTGTCTGTTGCATGTTTCTTATATAATACATTTCTTATGCTATTCTTTTGTAAAATAAATATTGCTTTAAGCTTAAAGGTAGGGTAGGTAAGTTTGAGAAACCAGCTTGAGTGAGCTAGAATTTGAAAATACACAACCGGAGAAAATCTGCCACTTCCTTATAGAGCCCCTCCTCCAACACACACGAACGTGCACATGACCAATGAGGGCACGAGATAAGTTTGTGCACAGATGGAAGGCTGACAGGCAGGTAGGCCATCCAGTTATTTTAGCCGGGCCGGCTAAAATGATTGGTCGTGCTTTTTACAGTATTACGGCTTCCACAGATGACATTTTTTTTATGGATTTTTTGTCAAAGCACTTAAGATATTCATTGCTATCGGGATGTTAAGAGCATTCCATGGAATATAACAAAAAGTGTATCTCGAGCCGGTTTCTCAAACTTACCTACCCTACCTTTAAAGTCTGTTTTAATCACAGCCTCAACATTGGAATAATCCTGCTTAAATCTAGGTAAAAGAAGAAAAAAGAGGACTAACTATAAGGACCGGAGTACATTAAACCTGAGTGTGTAAATGTCTTTAGTTATAAAGCTGCACACAAGCAGCGACTGCTCCAACATTTCAAATAAAGGAAATGACAAATGTACGCTGTTGCTTAAGAACCTGATGTCAACACACAATGGTATCTTAACAAACACACAGGATTGCTCAACACAAATACCTGAGTGGGGACGAAACAGAGGAAGCAAAAAGAAAGAGATAGAGATGCAGCTTGTTCGTGTGTGTGTGTGTGTGTGTGTGTGTGTGTGTGTGTGTGTGTGTGTGTGTGTGTGTGTGTGTGTGTGTGTGTGTGTGTGTGTGTGTGTGTGTGTGTGTCCATACTTTTCATCTGATATCCTCATGACGGGAGAATCCAGACACAGAGAGAAAAGTCCTGTCTCTATCAGCCGCACTGATTCCTTGTTTAGTTTATCTGAGTCATAAAAGGAAGAAATAAAAAGACAGTAATAACTTAGTATTTATAAATGTCTCGGTTTATTCAGTGACATACACAGTAAAGGCCTCATACACCCTTTTCTAGGTCTGCATGTAGCTCTGATGTACCTCTCAGCAGCCGGTCGTAGGCCTGTCCCCAGGTGTGACGGTGCTCGCTGGTCAGGATGCCCATCGGCTCTTTGTCCGTCTTCCAGGACTGAGAGCGGATCCTCAGCAGCTGTCCGTGGATCTGACTCTCCGTCATCCGAGAGCCGTCGCTGTTGTAAACCTCCAGCTGGAAGAACTAGAAGAAAAACAGGAGGCCATCTTTGTTACGCCTGTCTTCTATGAATGATTTATTGAGAAATGTTGGATTGGTTAAGCTTTCACTACGCAATGTTTTCCAAGATACAGACCGTCTCCAGGAGGTTCTCAGTTAGCACATTTTTTGTGATTATTTAAGCTCTGGGGCTTTTTTCTTTGTCTTTGTCTGCTTCCAACACAAATACTACACGAACAGCACCAACAATTATTCTGTTAATCGATCAGCCAATCCTCAGAAAATGGACAGAAAACTATTCGATAATAACAATAAAGATATGATAGGATAAGATAAAACCCCATTCATCCCAAGAAAGATTGCAGTGCAACATCTTCAATAAAAGTGGGAAAAGGGCATTATAATACATACAATGCCAAAATAAAAAATAAAGAAATTAATTGTGGCCTTCATCAGTTGTTATTTAAAAATTAACCAAGATAGGGTTAGCTGGAGAATCAGCAAAATATTTTCAAAGACAATTACAGGCAGATTTTTACATTATTATAATAACATTATTAGCATGAAAACTAACTTTATCTCATATAGAAAAGAGATGGTAAATTAAAGGTAGTGAGAATGAGGCTTTAAAAGCACTGCGTTCAGATTGGTTTGGTTTCCTTTCTCTGACCTGCTGCCAAAACTAAAGTGATTCCCAATGATCTGCACATTTGTAATTGGTTGAGACAAGAAACCTAATAAAAAAGAAAACAAACAGAGGTGTGATTACACAAGACTCAACATGTTTGCACTGTGGTATGATTTACAATCCAATAAGGATGATAAATATCAGAAAGACTAAAAGAGCAAAACATTTTTTAATCAGACTGCTTCATCCCACCTGGTAGTTCCTGACCACTGTGATGTGTGTCGGCGAGCGTCGGGCGCGCCCATAGTGAGCGATTTGGTCGTGTTTGGGGCCGGGGATCCTGCAGGAGGAGAAGAGGAGCGGGTAGAGCTCCATGCACAGAGGCTTCCCTCGCAGGTGCTCCAATGGCAGCTGGCCGCTGAAACAGAGAAGCACACACAAGCATCTTAATGTTTGTATGATATAATGAGTAAAAAAGCTATACGTTTCCCTCTGTACTGTAGATACAAAGTATCTGATCACTTCTCTTTGTTGTGTAGTCAACACTTTATAGATTAGCCCATACCAGACTAAAACTCTACAAATGGATTTTATACGCTTGTGAATGCAATGTAAAATGTCCATCTGCAAATTTACTACAGCTTTGAAGTAAAATCATATCAACTATTTTTCTTTGATATGCAGTGGAGAATCGGTATTTCTTTTGTACATTTGGCGATTCATTCATCTGAATACTTTTAAAACATGAAAATGACTAATTGCTTTTTGAATATGTCAGTCATACTTACGTGTTGATTGTGGCCTTAAAGTCTAGAACTGCTGCAATGAGTTTGGATGCAAACCTAAATGGAGACAGAAAGGTTGTGTTTTTATTATGTAACACAGTAACATTATGTAATCTCTTTTTGACATGCACAGGCGGAAATGAATTAATTTACAACACAAAAAGTCATTCATTAACATATGCTCGAGGAGTCAAATTACGTTTTGGAGTATACTTATACGCATGCGTTTTTAACGGCAACAACATGACCCAGTGTTTTTACTGGAAACAAAGACACATCACAGCACACCCTTATTTATTATATTTTATTGTTTTTGGGGGGATATTTTAATTTATGAACCTCCAGCAATGACAAATACTGGAAGTTTGAAACAATGATGTAACAACAAACAATACAATTGCTTTCAGAAAGTATCACTATCTTAGTTTTCTATAACAGCAGTACTAGTGTACACTCTGCTTCATCAGTGTGTCTGTAGTGTGTGTATGATATCATTGACTCACACTAGCTGGCTCCTCCAGCCGTTATAATCTCTCCTGGGCAGAGAAATGGCCGGGTTTGAATGCACTGGCAGCGGCTGTCTGCTCTCCAAGTACGCCCACTGCACCCACCAGGGAGAGATCTAAAGGGGAGAGAGGCAACACACACATAAATAGGACTGACATGTAACTCTTGTAAAAGGTTTCCATGAATCTGGGTGGAACAGATTGTTTTCAAAGAAGAAATCACAGTTAAAAGATACTAAATTTTGAATACATTTTAAGCATTGAAATATAAGTATTTTTGTGCAGGGTTTTTGGCGGATGCATGTTGTTTTTGTTGTGAATTTGTACTTTTTCTATTGAAGCCTTTTCCTTGTCCAATGTATAATTGCGTTACTTTGCTTACAATAACAAAAACAAACTGGAATTGATTATTTTTGGTTGTTTGGGGTCAGAGCTACCTTTCTACAAGAGTGGAAGGGAAGGTGCTGTTTTGCTTTTTGGCACCACTGCTTTAGCCTGATATTGATACCTAGCAGTGATGTTAAATCTGCCTGTGAGTGCTTCAAACACACCAGTGCTGCTCTATCTGTGCTTTATTAAAACACCCATATCCGTCCCTGACATCTGTCACATTTCCCACACTGATACAGCGGACACAGACCCAGTTCTTTGTGCATCTGGCTCTCTTCTCCAGTCCTGCCTGCAGCCGTGCACCAAGGCCCCCGGGCCTGCCAAACTCCTGCACCATCCTGCGGGTGTGGCTGAGCTCATCGGGGGGCAGCAGGGGCTCCAGGCTCCTGAGGTAACTCTGCAGCGTCTGGATCAGAGGGGGCACCGGCTGCGGGGGCACCGATGAGAAACACAGCTCCTGCCTCAAAGAAACCTGGAAGAAAGGGAGAAGTTTAAAGATTGTTTTTCTTCTTGTTCCATCTTTTTAATGTTTGAGCTTCACTGTACACAATGATGACAGAATGTGCAGAGCTTGACACTAAGAATGGATTTTATAGTCAAGTAGGGCTGAAACTAACACTTATTTTCATCATCATTTATTGTTTGGTCAGGAAATTTAAAGTTTTCAGAATCAGAATAGTTGGTGATTATCTTTCTGGCTAACAACTAATCTTACAAAGGAGAAGGAGTATATACCCTTTCTAAGATGTTTTATAAAAATAATAAATAAATATGACATTGTATAACAACTTTGCAACACTCAGGTGTACATTTCAGGTAATATTTTCTATTTTATTTATTGTTGTTATATATTTTGGTAAAATACCTTTATATTTTACAAAATGATGTATATGTATCGTATCATATCATATGAGGGGGGGGGGGGGGGGGGGGGGGGGGGGGGGGGGGGTTAAGGATATGGCTGTTCAGTGCAAACTCCCCAAATAGTGACGTTATAAGAGTAACCAAAGTAACCAAAGTTCAGCACAGTGCAATGACTTCCATGAAAGTTTGACTTAATGCCAATAACAGCAGGGCAGGACTAGGGCGTATCTAAATAGGAAGTGTAGAATTTATGACAGTAGAAACATGATCAGCGGCCTCCTTTTCGACTAATAACACTGCATTAAAAGCTATAAACCAATATGTAAACAGTATGACTCTTTAAGTTAACTCTCAAAACAGAAAACGACTCACCCGAGACAGCCATGCTCTGCAGGTTCCTGGTTGGATTTTCCTCCAAATCATGGTTCCTTAAATCAGAAATCCACCCCTTGTTGCATCTGTGTCACAATAAGCAGCTTTGAATGTATATTCTGATACTTTTCTGCACAGTCTCCACAGGCAGGTCGTCAAAGTCAAGAAGAAGAAATCCCTCCTCCTACTTCTTCTTCATGGTGGACGCAGAAGAGAAGAGAGTCGTCGCTCGATGGATCCTAGTTATGTATGCATGTGGTAAAAAGAAAAGTGTTGTATCTTCAAACTGCGAACATGCAAAGATTCACGTAGGCTACTAAGCTGAACTGACGCTGCAAGCCTACACACGTGTTGACGTGAAAATGTTGCTGTAAACATCTACGTCACCGAGCCACGAACGAGCCGGCTCAAAGAGCCGGCTCTTTTAAGTGAACGACGGGAGCCGGCTCGCACCCGCGAACGAGCCGTTTTGGTGTTTTTTGTTGACAACAAGACATGATATGATGATCTCCGCGCTACGGGTGCTCCGTGCATGCATGCAGTGACATATAATATCCAAGGATTAGAGACGGTTGGATGCTGCTGTTTTGCACATTGCAATACATTTATTTGTAGCCTATTATGTTTTTTTTATGATTATAGAGACGGACCGGTTGGATGCTGCTGTTTTGAGCATTGCAATATATTTATTTTCACTATGTTATTTATTTATGATTATCTTTAGGCTCAGCAAATATTTGATGTCAGCTGCATGTTGCTGTCTTTTTTTCTTTAGTTAATACTGAAATAGAGCCCTGCTGTTTTGTTAGGGCTTTTTCTTTAAATACAATTTTAAAATGTCGATACAGTCCCTTTTTTAAGTGTCTATGCTTAAGTTTTTACAGGTGTTGCTATCTGCTTTGTGTAGCGTGGTTCTACAAGCAAGTCAGTGCATTCATTGGGTGGTATCAGAGAGTTACAAGGGTCTGTAAACGCAATGAAAACAATTGGCCACAGCATTTATATTAAAAATGTAATTTTTACTTTTGAATACTTCAGCACAAAGGATGTAGGCCAATTGAATAATGTAAGTGATATATGCGTACACATATAAATCATTAGTCAAAACAGGGCTACATTTGATTGAATTATAAAAGGTATATGTGGTAAAATGAAGAGCCGTTTGGGAGCCGAAAGAGCCGGCTCTTCTTGGTGAGCCGAGCCAAATGATCCGGCTCACTAAAAAGAGCCGGAATTCCCATCGCATCCCTCCTCATGGTGTCGCTATTACACTCATCATCAACGAGGTTCAGTTTTATATTTTTTCTTTTTGACTGTTTGGGTCTGTTTCTCTTTTTAAATTCATTTTGTGACTCGTTTTTTTAATTTTTTTTAAATGAACCAGCGGTACAGGAAGTATTCAGACTCTTTCTGTAAACGTATTTCTTAGGAAACTGAAACCTCTATTTTTCTGTCTTTTAAAGGTGGGGTAGGTAAGTTTGAGAAACCGGCTCGAGATACACTTGTTGTTATATTCCATGGAATGCTCTTAACATCCCGATAGCATTGAATATCTTAAGTGCTTTGACAAAAAATCCATAAAAAAATGTCATCTGTGGAAGCCGTAGTACTGTAAAAAGCACGACCAATCATTTTAGCCGGCCCGGCTAAAATAACTGGATGGCCTACCTGCCTGTCAGCCTTCCGTCTGTGCACAAACTTATCTTGTGCCCTCATTGGTCATGTGCGCGTTCGTGTGTGTTGGAGGAGGGGCTCTATAAGGAAGTGGCAGATTTGTTCCGGCTGTGTATTTTCAAATTCTAGCGCACTCAAGCTGGTTTCTCCAAAATTACCTACCCCACCTTTAATTTGCATATATTTTTTAAAGCTTTAATTATTTTGTTTTTTTTTATTGTTTTTTATTTCTTTCTTAAATTGACTTGTGTTCATATATTTTTTTGAAATTTATTTTCATGATTTTAATGATCCTCATTATAATCATAGCATGTATTTCAGATATATGACTGCACTATCCAGTCTGGAAAAGAAATAAGAAAAAGCCTTATTTTGATCAAAAACCTAAATGAATACTTATTTTTCAGTGGATTTGACATTTTATGAATAAAAGAGGAGACGAAAATGTTTTCAGAAATATTTATTTGTTTTTTTCTTCTTTTGAAGCCAGCTTCTCCAACCATCATAGAAAAAATATTTTGCTCAGAATTTTGCATCTTCTTTTACAATATATTGTATTATAAACATATTACAGCCAAACGTCAGATAGCAGCTGTAATATGTTAGTTATTTTGATAAATGTTCTCAACTCAACGCAACTTCCTCTCAGGGACTTTCACTCACACAGCTCTCTCCTCTCCTACAAGACGAATGTTAACAAATATTACCTTTATTTATATCCATACTCATGAACTAAACTGTTACCAGAGTTGTCATTGGAAACAGTAAGGCTCAATTAAACCAAAATGCACACACCTCTAACTTTCCTGCACACATTGCACCGACCCTGCAACATTCAACAGGAGGCTTCAGACAAGAAAAATAAAACATCTACATAAACTGATCTTCATATCATCTGTATGGGCGAATCCAGCAGGCACATGAAACCAGATGATACAAACATCACTCCTCTATGCCGAGGCAGACTGAAATATAGAAATGAATTAACATAAAATAAGCTATGAAATATATTAACTAAAAAATGAAATATTTTGATATTGCATGGACAAGTGATCTTTTAATACCCATCAGAGCACACCTGAGGGTTGTTTATAATGTACCATACTCAGACATACACGTTTCCCCATATTTCTCAGAACATAAAACCAGATGAAACAATGTCCCCAGTAAATTATGTTTTCCTATTTTTCGACGCAGGAGTCGAACTGAAGACATTACATTTCTTCTCATTCATTCTGATGCTAGATAAAAACACCACAAGGATTATAAACAATTGCTTCAACAATACAGATCAACAAAACTTGATTAACATCGTTCAACATTCAAACTGTTGGTGATCTTGTCAAATGGGGAATTTTGGCGAGGACCGAGATGGAAGGTAAATAAGGTGAATTAATTATTATTATTATTACTTTATTTTCCCATTCACCCGCAGTGACATTTATGGCCTTTGGGGTACTATAAATGCAACCATACCTTTCCACCGCTCAGTAAAAACATACATTTTGTAACAAATCTACAATTTCGGCATTAAAAAAAACGTTGTGTAGAAATGTTCGTTATTTATTTTGATTCCCTACATTTCTAACTTGCTACCATTTTCACAAAACATTGGTCAGTTTGTTTATCAAAGTTTGAGATTATCCAGATTTTTCTTATTGACAACAAATCCCAAGAAGAGTTTACAACACCATGGTTAAAGTCAACAACATTTCACAGCTCAAAATATTTACTCCAATGTGACAATCACTGGATCTTTGCTTAAAGTGGACCTATCATGCTATATTTGAATAATATAGTATAGGGGATTTGTTGACAATAAGAAGGTTATGCAGTAAAATATTGCCAGACAGGAAAGTTCGACACAGTGAAATAAATGGCTTTTTTAGCCGGAGTAAAGTCCAAACCCATGGAGAGTTTCACAGTGAGACCAAAAAAGTCGAAACCCATAACCCCACTCATTACACGTTGTGTTTTTTGAGAAGGGGTTGACACTGACCCACTCTAAGAGCCCCTCCTGTTACCATCGCCACGTTCCTCGGGCTTTTGGATACGATTGCTATTTCCTCCATCTCAGCCTCCTCCTCCTGCACCTCCTCTCCCTGCTGCTTCTCCATCCTCCATGGGTCCTGAGGGTAGGGTGTGCAGGCCAGCATGGAGGTCTCTGATGGGTACTCACACACCTGCTCCAGCTGGTCCTCGTCAAAACACACATTTCCCTGTCGACACAAGTAAAGGGGATTCTTTTATTTTACATTTTTGTCAACAGCTAAGCAGGACATCCGACATCCATTCACACAATATTCACAACATTGCATAAACCATTTAGACGTAGCATTTTTCCTTAGAATACAACATTGATTTAGCATGTTTTGTGTTTATATTATGGTTTGTCAGGTTTTTCAGCAGCAAAAGGCGGTATTCGTTCTTTACCAACACTGACTTTCCTCTGTCACATCAGAACCCTTGAAATTTGAGCTGCAGATAAAATATGATAACATGAGAATAAAGTTATAACGTTGTGAAGTAAGGAAAAGAGTGTGAACACAGGCGCTGAGGAGAGTCTCAGCCTGTGTCTGTGAGATGTTTGTAATCTGTCATTGTAATGTTAACTGACAGCATGAGGCTTAGCACAGAATAAATACTCTCTCAGTAGAGTACTTACTGACTTGGACTTCATGCACTAACTTATTGATTTTTTAGGAACAGACCGAGAGAAAACTGAGTAACACCTTGTTTGTAAGGAAAGGAGATAAAGGATATGTTTAGCTTGTCCTTGCCAGAGTATGTTTACTCAAAGGTCAGCATGGTGTAAACAGGACACAGACCAATGGTGACCCATTGGTCTGAGTAAAGCATAGCACACGCAGTGTGTCTTACAATAACAGGCTCGACGTGTACAGTTGTAAACACACCCAGAGGTGCAGACATGATCTGGATGAAGCCTACAGATTCCACACTACACAAGTTTCCGCTGCTTCATCCTGACAGCGGCTGTCTGCAGAAGAGTGCAGATAATAGCTCTGCATTAGTGAGGCTGGGCAAATCATGCTAAGGCACAGCAGGCTAATCCTCCCTCCCTGAACCCGATTAACTAGGGCTAACACAGCAGGACAGCAGAGGCACCGGGTGAGAGACAGAAGCCTGAGAGAGTATAGACATAACAAGGACGTTTTCCTTAGCAGGAAGTTGGTATACATTTGGCCACCACTGTTTATAGGTTCAATACTGCGTGTTTAGTAATGCTTTAAGTTGAACTTTCCATCTGTTCAGAAAACATTTTAAATAGGACTGATCGATGCCTTTTTAGATCAAGAAAAACACATTCAAATCCTTTCAAAAGCATGCATACGATTGCTTGAAATAAACTAAATGCAGACAATGATAAGATTGTGACAGAAATGTGAAAGTTTCTTACATTTCCAACAAGAACAAAAGCCATAATTGAGGAGCCTGAATCAAGAGAGCAAAGGACGACTTTGATGTAAAGAAAGTCCAAGAAAATAAAAAGCATACAAACTCAAAGGAGGAGGAAGGTGAGGAGCAGGCAGGTCACCCCCCTCTGTGACATGATGGCGTGGATGGGGGAGGGGAGGAGGCCTAATGTCAAACAGTGTGAAGGACATCACCGAGAGAGCGACAGGTGGTCAGGGATTCAACGCCGTAAGGTGTTCACTGAAGAGGCCTGTGCTTAGAGACACATGTTTGTTTATTGAATTAGAGGTCAATGAAAGGCCAGTCGAGAGATATTAGTTTGCAGAGAACCGCACTAATTCTAGTTTGACTCTTGTGTTGACATAGTCAAGTCTTTTGAAACAGGCTTAGTATCTGAGTTGCATGATGCCATTTAAAAGTAAACACCATAATCACTTCCTCGTGTCTTTCTGAGTCTCGTTTGGAGGAAGTAAAGACATTAGAAAGAGGAAGTGAGCAAACAAATGCAGTGTGACAGGGAGTTTTGGTTAGACCCAATGAGAAGCATTCCAACGCCTTCAATTCCTCGCAGTATGACTGTCAAACTGTAATTTTCTTGAGACCTAAAGTTATTTTAGCATAATGCTGTTTCACTTCTTTCTCTTTACATTCTTCCCCAACTAAGAGTTGGCAGCCTGGCGTCAATAATACTGTCGAGGGTCAGTGTGGTCAAAAAATCCTTTGCCAAGACTGCAGTCTAACAAACCAAACACCTCTAGGAAGCAGCCGTGTAGATACAAAGACAGATTTGTCTGAGGAAGGGAGAGCTGACTCGACAAAATTGGTAGAACTGGTACAAGGGAACAAGGAAACACAACACACTCAGTTCTAGACTGAACTAACCAGCAGTTTAACTACTGTTAAAAGGAAAAATATCAATTAAAAAACACTATAATGCTTCAGGTGCAGTAACACATGAATACAGTTAAATTATATTTCAGCTCTGCTCCCTCTGTTACATAAGTGTTCCTCATCCACTCATCCGCAAACAAGGATTGCATTCAGGAAAAAGTTAAAAAGGAGGAAATAGAAAGTCCAAATCTGAACTGTGACTCAATTAAGATTCATTTAAATACTGGTCTTTGCATGAACCAATCCACACAGACAAGCATGTGATGTTATGTAGGCAAAACGCAAAAAAAGAATGGAAGGAAGATTGATCTGGCTTAAACAAACTAAGGGGTGCTTTATTTAACACTGTTCTGTTGTTTGCATTCATAGTTACCCTCATTCTGGCAAACAAAGCAACAAGCAGTTTGCTTTCACTTTCTTTGGTTTTGAGTGACAGAAAATAACCTATATGGAAGTATTGTATTATTGTATTGTATTGTTGCTGCCAATACATGTTTAAGCTTCCATTACATGTATAAGTTGGTATAGTTGTTTTTACTTTTACCCTATTTTTTTATCATAGGGTAAAAGTAAAAAGTCTGCAAATAACCAGACCTCAGATGCAAATGGAAAAGCAGATCACTCTTTTTATGGCTAAGAATCAAGATGCCGTGCTTGATAAGGCTTTAACTGGCTTAGGTCGGTGTCTGTGATTGTACTTCTTAATCAAAAGGGATGTTCTCTAGATAGAGAGAGGATTCTGCTTGACAACCAGGTGATGCCCTCTGAACCAACTCTGAAGACATTTAGATATATTACCCTCCCTTTCTGGCTTAGTCAATCATTTGAAATCAGTATTCTCCCAAACCGCCATTTTTGCAACTTGACATGTTAAAGTTATTGGAAGAAGCAGACATGTTGCTTTTTTGGTACCACTTTGTGTATAGTTAGGTAAGGTAATGTGTCTTTGCTTGAATTTATCTGTGAAAGGCAAACAACAAAACTAACTTCTTCCACTCACCCTTTTTGGAGTCGCTCTGTACTTGACTAGACAGGATTTCTCCAGATTCTGATATCCTCCAATCACCTCGATCTCATCCACTGTTGGAAACTTCTTCTTCGCTGGCTCGGTCCCAGTGGAGGGCGACTCGGCCTGCTGCGCTGGGGAGTTGGACCCTGCTGCTGCTGCGGGACCTGTCACCCCTCCTCCTTCAACAGGCTTTCTTGGGGTGACCGTGATGGTGGCACCTCTCCTCACTTGGCCCCCAGAAGCACTCCTGATGGAGAACAGCGTGGGCGATGGGGTTGGAGATGGAGAAACACTAGGAGACTGAGCAGGCGGTGTGGAGCTGGGGGAGGAGGCCGGGGTCGGGGCTTTATCCGAGGGTTTCAGAGCATTATCTGGGGATTGGCTCCTGAGAATTGAGTTGGTAGTTTGGTTGGATTGTTTGAGCTGATTTGTCGGTGAACAAACACGCCAAGGAGACACTTTGACCTTTGATTCTGGTGTTTCTTGATCTTTCTTCGGGGTCTTGACGTTGTCATTCACCTTGTACTTTAGCACCCCTCTTGGGCTTTGCTGCCCCTTTTTCTCTCTGTCCTTAAGAGGAGTGTTTGGTGATGCACAAGACTTCAGCAGTTCCTTCTCTTTTATCTGAAACTGTTCTATCTGACGCTGTATCGTCTGAACTCCAGGGGTGTCCTCATCTGAGGAGGCTTTTCTGTCCCCCTGCTGTGCATTTGATAAGAGTGGCTTCACTTTAACTAGATGCACTGATGGGATGTCGACAGTCCTGTCCCTCAGACACATGGCCGACCTCGAGCTCACTGATTCCAAGTTGTAGATCCGACTCATAGCTGTGATGGTGTTGGGGTGCGGCTGCAATGGGGAGAGAGAATTCTCAGAATTGAGAGGCAACGTATTTTCCTCTACCTTCTCCTGTGACTGCTGCTGTATCTCCTCCTCTTCCTCCCTTTCTCCCTTCTCGAGTTGGGCCCTGTGTCGCTTTAGCTCTTCTTCCACATGTTTCAGGGGCTCATATTCGTCCTCAGATATCGGGAAGCTGTCAGAAATAACTCCGGTGGTAGAAGTTGTGTACCCGATTGGTACTTCCTCAGCTCTGATGGCTTGTGAGACAGAAACAGGAAGTTGAGGGCAGGTTTTTAACACACTGACTTCCTGCGTGACGTCAAAAGCAGTCGAGGTTGTCTGCGCTGCTTCGTCTTCCTGTCCCCTCTCGGCTTCGATCGACTTCTTCCGCATGTGAGGTGCAGCTTCCCTCTCTTTCTCTATTGCTGCTGTGCTCTCGTCATGCTTGTCCCCGGCTGTATGAGTGTTTTTTATGTCTGCAGCTTCACTCCCACTTCCATTTTGTGCCTCTATTTGTCTCAGAGTCTCCAGCTCTTTTTGTCTAATTTTCTCTCGCAGGGACTCAATGCGGCTCAGGGGTTTTCCGATCCTCCAGCTATCCCTCCTCTCAACCCCTTTACCTCCTTCCCAGTTGTCGCTTTGACCCACAGACTTTTTTCTCTCTGCCATGTCTTCGGCAACATAAAACACACTCCTGGGGATTTGAATCTCAAGGGGCCCTGGAGAGATCCCCATGGGCGGAATCCTTTTTGGAGATCTGGGCGTTACATCCTGACTGAGATTCTCTGATCCAATATCCTGATATGAGCCTTGGGACTTGTCAAACACCCTTTCTGCTCTGCTATAAACGGTTGTGTCTCCTATTTTTTCTATTTTATTTATAAGCTCCTCTGTGTGTCGGGACAAAACAGAGTGTGTTGGGAAAGGTCCTTGTGTACCACTCCACTCCGGCCCTCTGTTGGGGTCCCTAGATCTCTCTGTGACAGCACAGAGGAGACTGGAGCACTCTGTGAAAGCTGATGCAACGTGAGTCTTCAGTGAAGGTGAAGGTGAAGGTGGGATTATGCCTCCAAATCCCTCCTTTTTGCGGAAATCCGACACCTTTCTGTTGCAAACTTGCGCTTCAATCTTTCCCCCTGCCTCTGAATCTTTTTCATCATTCATTTCCCTTTTTAAAGTCTTCTCACCTGTCTGTCTCTTTACCTCCGCTCTTGCTTTCCCGTCCTGCCTGATTGCAACTCTTCTAGCAAACGAGATTCCTTCCGTGTTCTTGACCGATGCCACTGTGAACCCCTCGTCTCCGTCCGCATCACATGCCCTTTCCGCAGCCCTTGTGTCAACAGGCGTCACTTTCTTAACTTTGTTGCTTTGTTCGACGGCAACACACATTTCTGATTTATTTCTCTTTTGCATGGGCCCCTCATTTTTATCCATATGTTTTAATTGTCCATCTATAAGCTTTCCAAACCGGCCTTTATCTGACAGCAATGTGCACCCCAGTTTGATCTTTTCTGTGGTTTCCTTCCCTACGGCTGCAACGTCAACCCATGCCCGTACGCTCTTTTCTGAATGTACCCTCCCACACCTTCTCCTTTCATGATGCCCATACTCATCCAAACCATTCTCCTTGCCGCTGATGACTCGATCAGAGAAGCTTAATGAGCGTTTTGGCACACCTTTCAACATCAACTTTCTCCCATCTGACTCAGACTGCTGGTCATCTTCATCTCCAGAGTATTTTCTTCTCCCGGGCCGGAGTAAATTATCAGAGCTTTTTGATCGAGACGGTGGCTTGGGGTGCTGTCCAAATTTACTCAGCAGCTGACTGACCCTCCCTCCTCTTTCAACAAACACGTTGTCGTCCAAGCTTTCCTCCATGTCGTCTTGTATAACTGTCGCCTGGCCCCATGGTCTGTCCTTGTCTTTTTCTCTCAGCCAAGACATGTCTGTTTTGATCTCCCTGCAAAAGCTCCTCCTCCTTTCACCCATGCTGCATTTGACCTCTCCATCCTCTCTACCTGACCCTCTCCCTCTCCCTCCTCCTTCTGGACTCCTCTCTTCAGAGCTTGATGAAGGCTTTATAATCAGAACCTCAGAGGCTCGGATCTCTGTTATGCTCCCTCCTCCGGCCAGGATCTCCCTCAGGTCCATCTTCATGCCTCTCTGCCCCTGTTGGTCCTGCTCAGGCCTCTCTCTCTCCGCCTCCCTCCATCTACCCCTTCTCTCATCCCTGCCTATCCTGTCCTGCTCGATGATGATGATGTTGTCGGCTCGGAAGGTCCGAAAACACGATTGTGGATCCGTTTCCTTTTCCTCCCCGTCCTTTCTGACTTTGAGGAATTCCCACTCCCTGTTGTCATCTTTTACTGACTCTTTGAATGGGTTGCTGTTCTCTCTTTCTCTTCCTTGACTCCTGTCTCTGCTCCGCTCTTGTTCCCGTCCTTCACTCACATCTCGGACTCTCTCTATTTTCATCTCTACATCTCTTCCCAATCCCCCATCTTGACTGCTTGGGCTTGATTTCTCTTTTTCCGTCTCCTTGGCTTCTGTCTCATCCACTCCGTCTGCATCCTGGCCCTTCCTCCGTGCACTTTGTGTGCGGAAAAATGGGTTTTCATGAACTGGAACTATAGTTTCTTCAAACACCTGACTGGCTGGTTTGATGTCTCCATCTTGCCATAACCCCGGGTCTGGACTAAAGGAAAGTTCGCTTTCCAAATTGACCGTCCCAAAGCTGTCGGTGTCACTCAGACCATCAGAAGCAGATCTGACATCCACCTGCAGCAGACAGACGTCCCTCTCCTTTTCCCTGTCACCCAAACTGTCCAACCTCGCCTTTCTCCTCTGGATGATGCCTCGCTTCCAGGCGGGCATGCTGGCATACTTTTCCTCCTCCTCTTTCTCCCTCCTTTCGCGATCCTCCTCCTCCCTCTTTTTTCTCTCCAGCAGGAGTTGTTTCCATTCTGGCAGAGAGGTGACAGACATCACAGAAAAGGTCGGGGACAAGAGGATCGCTGTTCTTCTTTAGGGCCTCTGGGAATTGTCTGTAAATCAGGAAATTATTAATCAAATTAATTCTCTCTCACAACCATGTTAAAAAGAGGTGTACACAACAAAAATATTAAACTTTAAGGAAATGTACAACTCTATAAGTGTATTATCAAGTGGATATATGTTAAATACTCCTTATATATTATATAAAAATATGCAAATCAATGTGAAATCACCTTGTGGGACAACATTCATCAACACAACCTGCTGTCCTAGTTTACCTTCTGTTTAACTTTTAACACAAAAATGATAATAAACTTAAAATGTGTTTGCTACATACTATGCACATGCTACCAAAAAACATTGTTGATTCTGTGTGTAAAATCAAACTCACCAGAACCCCAAAGATATCAGTGTATCCGCCTCAGATGTCATCGTCACTTGTGTGTGTCTCGGCTAATGCGCTCCCCTCCTCGACTACAAAATCTCCTTCCACAAACAGATTAATCTCTTCTGTCGAAACAGTAGCTTTTTAAAAGACGTCAAATCACCCCACGACCTGACTGTGCATCAGAGCATGCAAACACCTCCGTCCTCGGTATAGTAGTAAATATTTCCAGCCTCGGAGCAGCAGCACTGTAATCCTATAATTACATTAAATTCTGTCAGGAGAGTTTAGTGGCACACACCATATTGTCGGACCTAAGAAAAGGCGTTTAAATAACACAGCCGTCTGCCCGGGCAACAACCCCCACCCCCACCCTCGCCTCGTCCCTTCCTCCTGCAGGGCTAATTGGAAGAGAGGTGGAGGGGTGTGTGAACAAAAGCTGCAGGCCTGATCTACTTCCCTCAGATGTTTTTAAAGGACTATTTTATTAGTTTCAGGAATTATTATTTGCAATTTCATGTCAGGACACAACATGCAACTCTCCCTCCTGTTATGCTTGTTTCAGCCAACTAAGGACTATAGGTCTTAATTTGTAAAAATGTGAATAAAAAAGTAAATCCACCTGAAATGGTTCAAATAAAAAATAAAAAACAAGCCAAAGTAAACATCTTGATAAATGTAACATGATACACAAAAAATAGGCATTTAAGTGTAAATAGGACAACTGCAGGTATAAAGTTTGCCTAGTAATGCATTTAACATATTTCTCATATTTCATGGTTTATTTCTAATTATTTTATTTTATTTTTCAATCAGGAGGCTCAATTTGTTTACATTATTTGTTTCTTAAATTCTTCAAATAAACAGTATTTGACTAAATATGACTCCCTGTTATTTAATGTCTGCTCCGACAATTGTTTTTTAATCAAAGATAACAGTACTTTGAAGTTTGAGAAATAATAAATGGTAAATAAAGGTATTCTGATTCTGATCTGATTAATGATGTGGGCAGAAAATACTAACTGTGTTCACTTGGTTCATTATTGTTGATGTGAACCCACCACAAAGAAATACATTCATTATCTCAGAAATACAATTATTTATTATTGAAGCTGCAACTTGTGAAAAACAAACAGCTTTTTGTGCTTTTACCAGTGTGAAATCTTAGTTTGACATCCCTATTTAATAACAATTCAATTTTAAAGTAGTGTGCACGAATATAGCGTAAGTGCAGATGGCACATGGAAAGTAAAAGCCTATAAAAAATAAACTATACGACAAACAAAAATAAATTCTGTTACTAAAAAAGCAATATTTCGAGGGTTAAATTGCATTACTTTTCATATAAAATATAAAATAAAAATTATATTATTGCAATAAAAGACTGACCTGATAACCTTAAGTAATCTTTTTAAATTGTAACATATAAAAATATTCTCAAAAATATAAAAAAAACTACAATGACCTGGGATTCAGATCCACTCCAAAATGAAAATCCAAAAAGTAGTTTTTACGTAATCTTGTTTACAAACAAAAAAAACAAAAACAATAATCATCTAATCTCCTTGGTAACAATAATTTGTTCAAACTGTAAAACCTTTTGCATTAAAACTCTCGCTTTCTAAAACTACATATACAGTGAAATGTTTAAAAAAATACAGTGTCAAGTTGAGTGGGTCTTTTGCAATTTCCAGAAATGGTCAGATCATCTTTACCAAGCTCATTGAGAATATTTGATTAATATAAAAACAGCAGGCAGCTTCACAACGCAGTGGTAAGAAGACCTTTACTTCACTTCTCCTTGGGGTCGCTGGTGTTGGTGCTGCCGTGGTGCGGCTCAGCAAAGACCTGCAGCTTGCTGTTAAGCTGGACGCAGAGGTAGGCTAAATCCTGTTTGTCCAGAGAGTGTGCCAGGGCCAGGTAGGACGACAGAGTCCCCGCCAGCAGGAGCCTATCCAGGGACAAAGCCGGCAGGAGCCACAGCACGACACCCAGCTCCAGGCACACCGGGTGGCGGAGGTGAGATAGGAGGCGCTGGGCACCTGGGGACTTGTGAGACAGGGGGTCTCCTAAACCGAGACACTCGTAATACACCTGAGAGAGAAGAGGTCAAATAAGGCCAAGCAGCAGCACAGAACATTTTTAGAGGATGTCATCACTGCCACAGATTCCATACTTCCTGCATGCTACACCCAGTTTGTTCCTATTATAATATCATAAAGATATGAATTATTGGCAGTTAAATTAAATATAATGTTAATCTTGATGTTTTATCTGACCCTGCTCAAATATGTCATACCGAACTTTGTTCGGTATGACATATTTGGGGTTAAAAGTTCAATTCTGTTAGCTGCCTTTAGCCACAAATGGGTAGTAATCTAAACTAATCCCAATTTGAGATGTCGCCAGAGTTATGTTTTTTAATGCACATTTCTTTGACTACCTTGTGTAATTATTGTTCAGAATTAAATGGTACAGCACATCTTGCTCAACTTGTAACTTTTCTTTGTGCTGTATGCATGTGCTCAGTTATGGCAAAGTAAACTTGAGGAAACTGAAATTAAACATTAATAAAAATAAAAGCAGTAACAAATTCAATAAATATTGATATAGGACAGATTGAAAACTATAGAAAAATGTGGAAAATACTATAAAACATAATGCATTGGAATTAAAGTGGTACAACTATTTTCTGTAATATAAAGGCAAAATATCCCAAAAATAATGACTTAATAAGAAATACTAATAAGTTACCTGCTTGAGGCCTAACAGTTCAGGGTAATCAAAGATCATGAGGATGCTGCAGATGATGGCCCAGCAGAGGAAGTGCAGGCTGAAGCAGAGCAGAGGGAACCAGACGCTCCAGGGTGCATGACGCACTGACCACAGACAGGGGGCGTCAGTCACAGGCTGCCAGTAACGCATCAAGATCTAACAGGAGGAGAGTTGTGTAGGGAAACATCGTGTATTACAAAGCCAAAGACACGCTCAACTTAAACTGGTGTTTAAAGATGCTATTTTCCAAAATGCAGTAAAATGTCCATGGAATATATTTTAAATGTGTTGCAATACCTGGAGTGCCACTACGGTGCTGAAACAGTATGCCGTCCTGTTCAGGGCCCCCAGCCCTGACTGGAGAGCCTTTTTGACCGGAGCCCAGGCGAGCACACTGTGCTGTGTGATGAAGAGAGCCAGCAGCCCCAGATCCACAGCGAGAGACCCGAGGACAGAGCTGTCCCGCAGGGCCACCGACCACGGTATGGAGTCTTAGGTACGGGCAAATGACGTAAAGCGAAAAGTCATTTTACATTCTAAACACCAGTTCTAAATGGGGTATGAATATTGTTGTGAATTAATCAAAGGAAGCTACGCGTTTGGTTTCCGACTTCACCACGCAGAACTTGGTGATATTGTCTTATGAAACAGGATTCTACAATGCTGCCAACGAAAAGTTGTGCGCCCAACGTGGGGCTCGAACCCACGACCCTGAGATTAAGAGTCTCATGCTCTACCGACTGAGCTAGCCGGGCACTGACCCCTAGTGGCGCATTGTTACAATTTCAACCCTATCTCAGTCCTACTCTCATTGCTGATAAAGAGACTTGCACTGGTGGTAGAATCACGTAAAATAACTTACCTAACAGTTGTGTTTTGTTAAATATCAAATACATATTTCATGTTATAAAATACTATCTATGATACAGCGTAGCAGCACTGACAGCCATCTCATGCTAGACTTCATTAATGACCTCCTCCTCTAAAGTTAGCTAACTTCGCCCGGTAGTCTAAGCAGCTTACCTTGACACAGTGTCGTGTCCCCAGTGATGTTGTGGTAAATGGCTCGGAATGATATAAACCGAATAAAGTCTGCACCGGAAATGAAAACAAATGCAAAGTTTAGCAGAGAAACAGCGACGAGAGCCCACCTACGTACCGTGCCCGACGCCATTTCAATCAGCGTTGATATTCATTTACCAACTTCCACAATGGTTTCTTCCGGGAGGACAGTTTGTGGAAGTACCGAGTATTACCACATGGTGTCGCTGCTGGAACAGTCTTTTTCGGTTTGATTTCCCTTTTAGGTCTTCCTACAACTAAGAGCAAACATTATATTGCATATTGATGATAGTGTTACTCATTTGTTTAGTTAAGTTGACATAAGGGACAGTTCAAGTTAACACACATGTTTTAAAAAAGGCTATTTTTCATGTTTAGTTCCTGTCTAGGGTATCTTACTAAAATACAGTCAAACATTACTTATCTGCTGTTTTCACACTGACTACAACTCTAACAAGAAACAAAGAACACAAAACAAAACTCAAGACTTTTGCTCAAAATTGGAGTGACTTTATTGCATACAGGAAATTGTTCAAAATGCTACACATTCATTAGCTTAAATGTTATATTCTTAGTTTTACATTTACAAAACAAATATGTCAGAAAAACACAGACAGGTGTATGTCAACCTGCACCAGTCTTCAAATGAGGTTAACTTCCCCCCTGTAGCACTCCGGGTGGTAATTTCTGTCAAATGATACCACTCGTATAGACTCCTGAGACCCCTGAAACAATACAAAAAGAAGGGGAATTTGTTGAAGTGTCATGGTGATATCAGTTAAATGTTTTGCCTTTAACACCTGTAGTGTCTCCTCTTATTTTAACAATGCATTCAGCTCACCTCGGTTGGCAGTATCGGCTCTCTGCATGCAGCACACAGAGGAGCTTTGACCCTGAAACCATAAAGAAGTCTCAGTAAAAGGTCACAGAAACTCAGAAGTGAAGACACTCTGGGTGTGAATCATCTGTTGTCTGTCTGGCACGGTTTGGTTTCCTCTTTTTGTCTGGAGTGTGAATGTAAGGGCTTGGCCCATTGTTGTTGTTCTGTGTAAGAAACTCACTTGTGGTAGTCGCTGACACAGTACACTCTGCTCTCTGCGTCCACAGTGAACTGCTGCCCCTCCAGGCTCTGTCTGCAGACCACACAGCAAAAGCAGGACGGGTGGTAGGACTTCCCACGAGCCTGCAAGACCTGACAATGCAAAACAAGCTTTTAACACAACGTGAGAGCTGGTGGAAAGTTGTAAAGTGCCTTTTCTCAAATACTGTAGACCTACTTATGTACAATTATAAAGTTATTGTACTTTTACTCTGCCACAATTCAAAGTCGAAAAATGCACTTTTAACTACAATACATTTATTTTATAACTTATATTGCTTTGCATATTCAGAATATTATTGAAAAAATATTTTTAACATATACAACTGGAAAAAGATACGACTGTATTTATCCCGAACACTAAATAGAATGACAACACATATTAATGCATCAAATATTCTAATTCAGTTACAATAAATTGAAACTCTAAAATAGTTTTTGTGTTAATATGTTTGTACTTTTACTTTAGTTACATTCTGAATGCTGGAATTTATGTTACACTATGGTATTGACACTTTCATTTAAGAGATCTGATAACTTGTTCCACCACCAATGAGATCATGCACCGCATATAGTATAAAACACAGTAAAGTAATGCATACTCACCATGTCCATTAATAAAACCCCACAGCTGTTACACACTTCTGAGGATGGATGAACCCCTGGGTACTACATTAGATAACAAAACTTTATATGGTTAATTGCCAATATTTCTCTGAAAAATCTAGGTCGATCATGTTTGTGTCATATTTTACTCTGTATCAAGGTAAGCTCTAAATAAAGGATGTTCTTACCATAAAATCTTTCACACAGTAAATTCTTCCTGACACTGTATAAAACGGCTTTCCTGTGAGCTTTTCACCTGAACATGAAACAAAGGACAAAACACAAGGTGACCTATTTGCATAATGGAACATTTGATAACATACTAAAAGATTAAAAAGTCATTTTTTGATTAAAAAAAACCCCACTTAAATTCACGTTCACGAGCAGGTTTAAGTAATTTAAAATGCAAAACATCACCCTCACATCAAGATGACTCACTACAAACGCAGCAGGTGAAACAAGTGTCATGGAATAAATGTCCCATCGCACGACAGGCTCTCCCTTCACCGTACACCGCTTTCCTGCAGCCTGTACAGCTTCCTGAACACACAACAAAGAAAAAACACAAACAAACTGGTTACTGGGAACCCTACAGAAGAGTATAGGTGCCAAGCAATTCAAGAATTAACAAATGTGTAGAATAAAGTCAAGAAGTTGTGAATAGAGTTCTAATGCCAAAAACTAGGCAGAAACTTTAGTATAAGTGCAAGGCTTAGGAAAACAAATAAACCAGAGCAAGGACTTGACATTTTCAGTATAAAATTGAAATGATCAAATCAATTTGAAATATCAGGCTTAAAGTTGACATTTTGAGAACCAAAAATAAATATATCAAGAACATTTCCAGAATGTTAATTTCTTACCAAAGTAAAGACTGGAACTAAAACTTGGGTCCATCCTCTAGAGTATTTCTCCAGTTGTCTCTGCCTGCTGGAGGCTACGTTACAACTGTCTGGAGTCTAATTTTATGTGCTGGGCAGACAGCTGTAAGTGGAGCTGCTATCTGGGATCATGGGTGTTGCATTCGGTGCTTTTGCTCTGAGACTTCCTCTGACTTCTCCATGGTGGCTGAGTGGGTGGCAACAGGCAAGACCAACTAGTACCTTTTTGCACAATTTAGAGATACATCATCTTTATTTATAAATTATGTCATTGGATAATATTTATTGATATTGTGTGTATCACTTTCTGGCATATTTTATCATTTAATATTCTGCTGGCTAGTTTCCCCCCTAGGGTTCAGTTTAATGTATATCTATAATATTACATCATAATCTATTTGTAGATAATGTTTTGTGTTATGAATCTGAATGTTCAAATTCATTATCAGATAAATGTTCTGAAGTAATAGAATGGAGAAGCAAATACCTAAGTAGAAGTACCTAAACATTCTACAGAACTTGAAAAATCTATTAGTTATTTTCCACCACACACCCAAGATGTATTCAGATCCCTGAAGTAAGTTAAATGATTGTCAAAGTACTGTAATTCAAATATTGCGTATCTCCTGTTTTCAGTATCAAAAGGCCCTTTTTCTTTGAGTGTTACAATAAATATTTTGAATGCATTAATTGAAAAGCAGCTTTCTCTGTTGAAACTGATAGAGATGGAGCTTGGTTTAATGACTTGATGCACAGGTAGTTTTGTGCACTGGTTTTCAATCCTCTAGGAGGTCAGAGGTCAAGCAAGGCAAATGTAATTGTGTGGATAGTAAAACATAATGTTAATTAGGAATACAGGTTTAGATTACATAAGACATGCAACTCTAGACCAAAAGTATTCCACGTGTGGGCCGTCTGACATGTAGGTTTCCACATCAGTATTTTTACAGTGTGCCAATGGGTGTGGGCATACTACCCCGAGCGATGAGTCTCTATGTATTACTGTAAACTCAACAATCTGTATATCCATGAGGAACATTTTGAACAGGAGCCCTGAAACCTCTTCAGCCTTTCTATACACTTTCAGACATTAAAACTTGATGCTGCTCATATATCTTGTGTTACTGCCCTCATGTGGACTGTTCAGGCATTTTATATCCTATGACCTAGAACCAGGCCCGCCCAAATAACAGTTAAAAACAAATGCTGTTATTTGAGCCAAGATATCAGAACTAAATGTAGCTAAACAATTTAGTTGCCTGAATTTAGTTTGAATTGAATGACTCTAAACATTACTTTTCTCATAGTTTTTCCTCACATTGTCTTGGAATTTATCTGTATATCATCAACAATAAACAAGTATTCATAACACTATTTGACACATTGTGCAACCTATTATTTCCGTACACTGCATCAATAGCACATTGTCAATGATCTTATCTGATAAACTTTAGCCATGAAACTCCCTACAGCACATGTTTGGCTCTCCTGGGTCTGCTACAGTAACAGTGGAGGGGAAGTGTGTGGCAGCTGCTGATTCCTCACTGAAGTCTCTTGTTCAGACCCACTGAAGCTGTTTAAGTTCACCACACCGCCCACTCTGCACTCTGTCAGACTGGTTTAACAAAAAGCTTGGAGTCGTTTTTGTTTGAGTGTAAACGTGTGTGATTGGATTGACATGTCCTTACACAAAACACAAAGAGTGAGCGCTTTCTTTCTTTCCTTTTTACCATTTTTACTCCTTCCTCTGTAGGCTATGTTGAGTAATTTAAGTTAGGGGTTTAAAGGGGAACGAATGATAATGTTGAAAAAATGGCTTCAGGGGGGGAAACAGATACTGAGGATCAGTTTCAGACATGTCACATTCAAACGTATTTAATGATAAATAGGTTAAGCTTAGAAAACTGTACCACAAATGTGTGTTTGCAAGACGTGGTCTTGCCCTCAGGTAGCTGTTTGTTTCTGTGCAGGAATGTCTGCGTCATGATAAGGCATGTGGAGGCAGGAGGAAAGCCTCTGTGACATGGGAGTATTATTCACAGCATAGACATACTATCTGACATCAAGCATACACACTAAATGACATTTTCATTATCATTTCACTATGGGAAAAAAATGCAACTGACTAGACAAAACCTGACTTTTAAATGTAAACACATTACTCATTCAAACTGTCACCACACGTATGACATCATTCTAATTAAGTCCTGTTGTTTATTCATATACTACTATCAGATTAGAGGTATTAGATGTAGTACTATTGATTTTGGGTAATTCAAACATCCTCTATTTTGAGCTCTAGTTTCCACACCCCTGCTCTGCCTTCAGATTTTGGGGAAACACCGCACCATGCCAACTATCCCTGGCATGTTTGGCTCTTTATAAATAGGGCATCCATTGTGCCACACAGTGAAGGGAGTCATATTAGGACCCAGAAGTCTTAACCGTGTTTTGCAGCTCTGCAGTGTCTCGGCTCAAGGGTACAACGGCAGTGCAGATCCTCCTCACCCATCAAGTTTGGGCAGGTAACCGTAACGTGCCTGAGGTCCACGCCCTCCTGCGCACAGGTAATGCAGAGCAGGAAGTGGCTGTCAACGCCGTCGCTGTTGCTGCTACATGAATGATAATGCAACCGTGTATTTAGGAGAGAAACAGCACCTTATATATTATCTTTTTTTTTTTTTTTAACTTCTCTATCTTTATAAACAACCGGAAAATCCAATTTTCAGTGAACATGTGGCTTTGTGCGACCTGCGCGCTCCTGGGACTTTTGTTTTTCACGGTCTTCGACTCATCAGGTGGGATAATAAACTGTCTTAGCAAGAAACATAATGTTCTTATGGTGTTTTGTGAAGCTTTGTTTGTCAATGCTCTCACTTTTCCTTTTTAAAGAAACTGCTAAAACAAACATTGTGTCTTAATTTCAAGTTTGTGTGAATTGGGTCAAACATACAAATGAGTTGAGTGCATGCTGTCTATTGTGGGGAAACGCACTCAGGCGAAACCTCAAGCAAAGAAGTAGTCATGGAAAGCACTCTGGCTAAAGCCAGCCGTTTTAAAAGCTCAATAAATTAAAAGATAATAGCAGACATTACGTTAGCTTTATGTATAATGTACTGGCTTGACAGTGGAGATGAGAGGCTACAGCACAAACACAGTCTGTGTGTGGTTTCTGGACCTCCATTTTCAAAAGGTTTATGAGACATTTATGGAACTTCCTGGGGGCATGACATCATCATGGCTTCATCAATGATTGACCTGCAATCTGCTGCTGAGCTATCAATCTGGCAGGCGTTTTATCATTGTTTTTGCTAGATTTAAACTCAGTGCTTTCCCCTCGCTAATTCATATTTTGGGGAAAATGTCATAAGCACAATGGGGGATTTGTTCTCTTTTATAGTTGTTGTGCAAATGATCAGATGAACTTCCTTTCTCCCTCTAAATATGACTATTTGAACCCTGTGACTCCCTTGACCCAACCAATGTTTACTGTCACAAGAAACAGTACTGCACTGTTGCTCTGTGGTGCTTTCAAGTCCTTGCAAGTTCAAATGGTAAATTATTTGCTTCTTTTTATATGTGTGCTAACTGCACTATGCTTTAAAAACAGTAAGTGTTTGCCAGTGAAACTACAGCTGCTATATAGCTTTACAGCTGCTGGTGTATCACATTTAGATGGAACTAACGGTGTCAAGTCTGTAAAAGGCAATTTTCCTAAAGGGAGAAGTTTGCATTTCCCACCTTTTTAGAGTCAAATATTACAAAACAGCAGTAACTGTTTAAAACTGGTCCACCTCGAGTTCCTCTCTTTACCCAGCACTTTGGTGACTCACATTTAATGTGAAGTCAATACATTTGATTTGGTCTGGCACTACACACCATGGGGATAGGTGTGCCTGATACCACTCTGTTTGTTCAAGTGTTTGTGTGTGCAAGTTTTGACCTTTTATAGCCTAAATACTGCTGAGGGGTTGAATTTATATTAAATAATTTTCAGGAGTGCTGCTCAAAAAGGGATCAGCCCTCAGCCGATTCATATGATCAACACTCCTACTCAAGAACCTTAAACCAAAGAATGTTTTATATTTATGTCTTTATCAAACATGCTAAACAGTTATAACTACATTTCATGATAATCCCTCCAATGGTTGTTGAGATATATCAGTCTGGACCAAAGCAGTCAACGAACTGGCTTCCATACTAAGCTAGCTAGCTTAGCCAAGAATTACCTTAATGACTTAATGATTAATTTGTTGCCAAAATAGTTGCAGATTCATTTTGTTGATCCACTAATCAATTTATCAACTTAATGTTTCCATGTTATCCATGTTTTTTATGACATGGAACAATGATGCTTATGTTTGTGCAACATCCAAAGACTCAAGTCCAAATGAGGTTATCTTCCTTAGCACACTATCCAACATCTGACGTCGTATTGAAACCTAATCCAATCATAGATCACATCTTTAGATTACGATGACAGTAAATAACATTTTCATGGAATTTGCATAACCCTCTGTGCTCTGTTCCCTCAGAATGCTTACAGACGGCGGTCCGACCTGACAAAGGCTCAACAGTGACGGTGTCCACTGAGCTGTCGCTGGATCAATGTGCTGTGTGTACAGTCAGTGGGGTGAACGACACACAGACATCCTGCCACTCCTCTCTGGCTCTGGTACCTGAGGAGGAGGTCAAACTGCTGCTCAACTGCTCCCAGCCCCTCGAACAGGGTTACACTGTGACGATCGCCAGTATCATTGGTGAGTTTTCTGGAGTTGCTCTTGTTCAGGGACTTAAAGGACAAAGTATAGTTTTACTCTGAAAACTCCTTTTTAAGTCATGGATAGATTTTGAAATGAGAAACCCCTGATGAAGAGTTGTGCAGTTGTGGCTGTTATCAGGTGGGATAATTTCACTTTTCAAGGGTCAACCTTCTCAACAGCTACCTTGAGTTAAAGGACCTGAAAACCGGCATTAGCTTCCTCCAACCCTAACATCATGGTGACTTTTGATACATCGTACATTCTTGGGATAATACAATTCCTATGACATAAATGTGTTTAATACACATCAAAATATAATTGATACACATGAACTACACATTCACCAGAGATGACATTTCTAAAGCTAGAAAGGCAATTTATTTTAGAAGCCGTTTTTACATCCGAACAATCAATAAATTAAATGCTCCGACAACAAACGAAAAAGAGGGGATTTTTCGTTTGGATACTTTCAAAGTCTAGTTTACTCTGCTGGATTCTCAAAAGTTGCCTTTCCCAACTTTAAACCAATCTGTGCCTCCTTTTCCTGCCTTTATTTATATTCCAGAGTGCACCAAGGACGCCTGCTCCCCTACAACAGTACAACCTCAACCCTCCATCCTCACAGAGTTCAGCAGGACCTTCACCTGGGAGTTAAAGGCTCCTGAGAAGACGGTTGTGGGTCTGGACATCCTTGGAGACGGGCTGATGGAGACGGCACAGCCATGCTCTAATGGATTTCAGTTTTCGGTGACAACATCCAAAACAAACACCAACGGCCAGACTGAGTATTGTCAAGGAGGTTCTGTGACTCGTTTGGACCTGCTCAATGCAGCTGTTGTGTCTCTGCAAGTTAAACCACAGGCTAAGGTCGACTCTGTGGGGTTCCAGGCCTCCGCTGGACCGCTAAGTAAGAACAAATGTCTTAATACAAAGTCTGTAGTAACATTTATTTAGAGCTGCATATCTCAAGTTCCTTTACTTATGGCTGATCATCTAATTCCTTAAGTTAAGTGTTCGTAAAGCTATGTTATTTAGTATTTTGAAATCGTATAGTATTGTTGATTGAAATGCTTTTAATAAAGTTAGTAACACAGTTAGTAATGTGTATATTGTAACACAATATACACATTACACAGATAACAAATAGCATGCTGCTAAATGTTAGTTAGCATAACTGGATATTTCCCTCTCATTCTGAATTGCGTGAACATTTTCTATAACTTTAAAACATATTTCTCAATCTATTCAGGTTTAAATAAAGCAAAGTCATATATCTACATTTACAAATGATTTACAGTGAATTTTAATTCCAGGTTTAATCATTTTTCCTTTGAAATCTAATGCTACATCAATATTTGTTCCATTGATCATACACTACAGATATGGCAACACATTGACTAAAATATAGAAGAGTTAAAGAAGGGTTTGACATTTTTGGATACAGCCTGCTACATTTATTTGCTTTAGAGGAGAAGATTAATACTACTCTCTATTTAGCGCTACTGCCAGCAGGTTAATTTAGCTTAGCTCTAAAGACGGTAACCAAGGGGAAGCAATTTATATCTTGTTTGTTTAATCTGCACAAAACAAATAAATAGGATTAAACAATTGTGATACTGAGTGAGTTATAGAGAAGTGTTGGTAGGCTCTTGTAATTACCTCTGGACCAATCAATGCTAACGTTTTGCCCCTGTGTTCTAGACTGTGTGCTAAGATAATTAATCTGGTAAAGACTTTTTGTAAAACAGTGGTTTCAATCGCCTCATCTTACTTTGGCCTATTTCCCTTAATGTTTAACTTTCCATTAGGTTTTAATATGTGCAACATGAATTTACTTTGTTTAAAATGTGCGAGTTGCTACAAAGATTTGAGGAAGGAAAACACTCAAATTTGTGATGGATTTACAAATTGCTATTGTTACTGGTCTGTAACCTTGTGTAACCTGGTCTCTGTATCACTCTTCTTTTTACCCCTGTAGAGGGCCGAACAATGGTTATAACTGTGGATTCAAGCACGACAGTGGTGCTCAGCCGGGACGAGGAGCCAGAATGTGAAGTGTGCTCTGTCGGAGGCGCCACTCCTGACTGTAGCCCCTCAGAGAAGACCCTGACAAACGTGGAAAAACTCTCGCTGGAGTTCGGCTGCCTGAAACCTCAGGATGTGTACAGCGTGAAGACGAAGAAGATAATAGGTGAGAACGGTTGAGGCTACGACGTGCCAACATTTACTCTAATAACCACCAGAATCTTAGGATTTGTGATATTACACTTTGAAATGAGGTTGAAACTTCAAAATACAGAAACTAAGAAAGATATGTAAAGATGAATAAAATATTTAATTATTTATGTCACAATCACTGACTATTTATTTAATTATTTATTTTTGTATTTATTTTATTTATTTAACAGGGACAGTGCACATATATTAACATTTCTGTAAATGTGCCAGAGAGATAATATTTTTCAACTGTAGTCCCTGGACAGATTTTATATATATTTCAGCATTTAAAAAAAAAAAAGTATTATTCATCATTTACATGTACCGTATATATATAAGCTTGTTTCTTTAACATGCAGGCTAGACTCTCTGCTCTGTATCCAATAAATATAGAAATACCTGTTTAACTATATTGCATTTAAAATGTATTACTTCTATTCCTCAGAGTGCACCCAGATCTCCTGCACTCCTGCTGCAGGAGAAGTTGAACCTGACCCCTTCAAGGATTTCAAAAGATCCCTCACATGGGACATTACTGTACCAGAGAGGACTGTTTTAACTCTGGACTTCCCTGGTGGATTGAAGGAGATATCTGCAGCCGAAACTTGCGAAGATAG